CTGTCACAGGCTGGGTACGTTGTTGCCAGAGTAGGCTGCTACAGAGCAAGGTCACCCTCATGTTTTGTCTCTTCCTTGTGCGCTCTTTGGCCCTTCTCCTTTTGGTGCAGCCCAAGGAACTCACCAGAAGCCAAGAAGATGCTGTCATGACGCTGTTGGGCTTCTGGGCTCCAAAGCTGTGAAACCAATAAATCTCTGTTCATCATAAACCGCCTGGGCTCAGGGAATCTGTTATAGCTTTGAAAAGCAGACTACGGCAGAACTAGCAGCATGGCCAGCGTCCTTCTCTCTGGGCCACTTGCCTCCACTGCCAGCCCCAGGACCTCCCTCTTCCTGCCCTTGCTTTTGCAGCCAGGACTGATGCCACTCCTTGTGAAGGTGTTTGTGTCTCAGGAATGGATGCTAGAATTTGCCCTGGGTGTTTGGAATCTCAGAGTCACATGGGACCCTCACAGGCCTCTGTCCAGTCTCTGGGGTGTTGCCCTCTTTCCTTCCCTTCCTTCTTTTTTTTTTGACAGGGTCTCTCTGTATGGTCCAGGCTGGCCTGGAACTCACTATGTAGCTCAGGCTGGGCTTAAACTCGTGGCGATCCTCCTGCCTCAGCCTCCCGAGTGCTGCTCCACCACACCTGGCTATGCCTTCTCTTCCTGAGGACTCATCTTGACCACCTCGAACCCCTGTGTATGTGTGGTTGTGTTCCGCTGACATGGAGAGGGGTCAGTTTCCAGCCTTGCCACAGGCTCCCTTTGCGTGGATTCAATAGTAAAACACATTTCCTTCCTGTGCAGAGGTCTTCTGTGCTGAGGCCAGAGTTTGCAAGGAGCTGGAAATGCTACCGGCCCAGCTCTGCTTAGCACTGGGCATGAGTGTATTGAACGATCACGCTGTGCCCCTTAGCTACGCACAATTATTAGGCGCCATTGTGGAACCACCGAGCTAAATCCCGGCCCTGATTAGATATACTTTTAAATTAGAACAAAAATTGTACTGGCTCCACTGATATATTTTTACAAACTCATGCTTATGAGTATGTGCCATTAGTAATTAAAACAAAAGGCTCTGGTGTCCACCTCAACATTAGTAGGTGATATGTTCATGAATATTTTTTTTAAAAGTCATAAACTGTATGACAAAGATGGCAATGTTTCTTAAGTTTGGATCCTGGACTGTCTGGGTCAGTGCGCGGTCACCTCCTGTCCAGGCACACACTGAGAACAAGCGGGGTTTCTACACAACTCTGGTATTTTGTTCACAAGAGCTCTGGATGCACAGCATCCGCAAAGAGGATACATTTCCTTGTCCCTGTGTGGCCTGAACACATGAGTGTTTAGACGCTCTGAGACACGCTGTCAGCACCTCCTGCAGTCCCAGCTCTGGGTCGCAGGATGAGCACGTTAAGGGGCAGGAGACACAGCTGCTCTCTGGAGACCTCAACCTTGAAGTAGCCGGTGTTTGTTGGAAGCTGAAGTTTACAAAAGACATAACCTTGACTGCCATGTTCAGAGATCAGAAGAGGTTATACGTGCATTAAGGACTTGGGGGGAAAACAGGAAGGAAGGAAGGTAGGAAAGAAGCAGCTTGCATTTTCAGTAAGTCAGGAGGTCTCCACCCAAGCCCCAAGAAACCCCTCTGAATTAACTGCAAGTGTCACAGTTCTGCCTGGATTGGCTTGAAAGCTGCCCCAGATAAGGCAGGCCTCTTCCAAACAAAAAATGTTTCTGTTTTATGAATCTCCTCTTCAGCCCTTCATCACCACTGTGTGAGCCAGTTGGTCCTCCCAGCGGGGAAGGAACCCAGCCTGGCTGAGGCTGAGAGTAGGGCTTCTCCCCACCATCCCTGCCGTATGGTTCCGATCTAGAATGTCCCCCAGATCTCCCGTGTTCACAGGTGGGGCTCATGGATGGTGACGGGATCATGGGACGCCATGCTCACGGCTGGATTCGTCCATGGTGAGCTCCTGGCTGAGGGTGCCGTTGGAAGGTGGGGCCTGGTCAGAGGAGGTTGGGCACTGAGCCATGACCTGGATAACTGAGTTGGTAGCCTCGCCCCTTCCTTTTCCTCTGTTTCCTGACAGCCTGGGGTGAGCAGCTGTCCTCTTCCACCATGATAATTCTTGTCTTGGAGCCAGCTGACCATGGACTGAACCTTGTGCGACTGTGCGCCAAGATAAACACCTCATCCTTTAAGGTGTGCTGTCAGGTATTTTGTCCCAGTGATGGGAAGTGACTAAGACATGCAGTGATTGGCTACGAATGGAACACACACACCAGACTCCCAATGGGGAAGAGGGGCCTGTCCTGACGGGGCTCCTGTCCTAAGCCCTGGTTGTTCTGTGCCCTGCAGCTGGGATGCGGGTGGAGGTGTTTCTGGGTGTCCCTGCTTCTGCCAGGACAGCTCTGTGGGAGCTGGGTTTCTGCCACCCACCTCTCCTTGTCCATCGCGCCCATCCCAGTCCTTGGTTTCCACCTTAGGCCAGGCCAGAGGCAGATGTCCTCCCTCCTGCTCTGCCTTGGGGTGGTTCCTGCCATGGCAGAAGACTCTAAGAGGAACAATTCACAGTGAAAGAATGAGTCAACCCAAGCGTGAGCATGGGTCAGGATGAGAGAGCTCCTGCTGAGGTAGGATAGAGGAAATACAGCGAGGTAAAAAAGAGAGAGGGAAAATCAGATTTTCTAAATTGCGCTTTTGGGGAAAAACTATAACTTTAGGACACAAAAGGGACTTGAACCACTTTTCCTTCCAGAAATCTCTTAGAAAGAAAATTTCCTGAGGGTCTTAGGCATCCTTGAAGGTTTTTATTTATTTATTTATTTTTGGTACCGGGGATCGAACTCCGGCCCTTGCACTTGAGAAGCAGGTGGCGGAACCACTGAGCTAAATCTGCAGCTCTCTGGGGTCTTAAAGATGCAGTGAGCCTGTAACTTCAGCCTTCTTCCTCTTGCAAGTGTTTATGCGAAAAGGTGATAGTGGAAAATCCCCAGGGATATCGTGCAGAAACATCTGCAAAATTAGTAACCGGAGGAAAATGCCTCACTGTGGACTAACATACACCCACACACACCCCTCTTTTTGTACTCATACCCAAGAGAGGTCAGTGAAAAGACCAAGCTAGGAAGAGACTGCTCACTCTGGGGTTTTTCTGTAAAAGAGAAATCTGGTCATGGTGACAGTTCTGGACAATTCCAAATTACCATGAGATCCCTTGTGGCCAAGTGTCCCACGCTAGTCCTCCCTTGGGTCTGTGCAAGTTGGACTCGTCAGGGTCAGGGCCAGCCAGGGTGGAGAGGGAGGAGGAGAGGCCAGGTGCACCCCACACCCTGAGCCCCTTCCCTGGGGGACAAGTAGGGCCAAGGGCCTATGTGAGTTTCATGGCGATTTAGGGTTTTCAAGGGTAATAGCACCTCTGATTTCGCTTCCTAAAGCATTCCTGTGTTGTAGTAGCAAAAGTTCTGAGAAAGGGTGAATGCATTGTTCCAGTACAGACGCACTTGCACTTTATTTTTTCCGGGTTTGCTTAAACGACAAGTAATCTTTTTCTACTTATTCTTGTCGCGCCAATCAAATGGATTTCCTTGACTGTTACAGTTTTCATATCTATGCTTCCAGTTTGATCAGTCTGTGTTTGCAGTGCCTAAGGATCATATGCCCCGCCGGGCGGGTTGATTCCTGTACAAAACACATCAATTCTTTTTACGTCCTCTTCTGCTCCCCTCCTTCCCCCTCCATCTCTGGTTATATTTTTCTTATTAAAACTCTGTTTTACAGCCCCGCATTGCAGCGCAGATCAATCCTTAGGAAGCTCTGGTTTTCCAGGAAGGGTGCTGTCCTCCAGGGAGACCCGCCGCGGCAGGCTCCTATCCTGCCATCGTCACCTGGCTGCTAACCATGCCAACGCAGCTCTTAATCTTTCAGGAGACTCGGGTCCAGGGAGCAAGGGACGTAGCAACGCCGACATGGACACGGGCGTTAGGCAGCAGACCCCTGGGGAGAGCTGTCCTCCCTGAGCCAGAGAAGGAAATGGTCTGTGTCATCCCGCCCACATGTTTTTTCAAGAATGCTGACGAGATTTTCTTCCTTTCCTATTAGCCGAGCTCTGGCTTTCAAAACCAAGCCATTCCCAGCGAAAGCCTCGTGGACTGGAAATAATTTGGTACGAAACTTAGAACTATGACAGGGAGGCTGCTGAGACAAGAAGCACATCGCCTGCAGTCCTATCAACCCTCAGAATGCGCCCTCCTACCCTTACCGGCCTTTCCCTTCCCCAGCTGTCATCCAAGCACGCAGAGGAAGGCTGGAGCCTTCGCATTACGAGACTGCATTTCTGCAACTGTTGAAAGATCTGACACAAGCATTTCTCCACCTGGAGAGCATCGCATGCAAATGTTTCACAGGAGTTTATTCTTTCCCCGCGCTTGCTCCCATCTATAATTTTCCACTTTAAGTCAGGGAAAGGCAGAGAGGACGCCTGGGAATCCAGCTCCTGCCCGCCCTGGGGGAGGTCCCAGGCCAGCTGGACCTGACTTGGGAGCCGCTCTGGGACTCGCCGTGTGAAGGCGCCTTTCTGCGGCTGATGTACCACTTTGATTTGACCCTGTTTTCTCCTGCCAGCTCGGGACGATAGGGTAAGCGAATACTCCAGAGCTGATGGGGGCAGTGAGATTTGGGTCTGAAATGCATTTTCTGCATAACAACAAGATGGCCCCAGTGATGTGGCAGGCCGCGGCTGCTCACCTTTCCTTGGACGTGCCATCTGCCTGGAGCGGGAATGGGCTGACACACAGCTGTCCCAGGGGAGACGTCCGGGGTGGTGGCAGCCGCTAACGAGCAGGCATAAGGGACCGCTCCAGCGAGCGTTCGCTCTTGAAGCCATTGCCACCATCCGCAGCACCGGGGACAGAAGGGCCCTTTCTGCAGGCCCGGTCAGCTCAGGTCCCTGCCGAGGCCTGAGGCTGCTGCAGTGGAGGCCCTGAGCCCTGCGCCACCACTGCTACTGCGGGACGATGCCCAGGAAGCTGGGGCTGGCCCTGCTGGCTTTGGCCAGCGCCATGGGCCTCAGCTGGGCCAGTGGCCTCACAGGTGAGGGAGCTGGACGCTGTGGGACGCTCTGGGGCGGGGTCCCTGTGGTGGTGTGGTCAGGTGAGGATGCACCTGCTCTCCTACAGCAGGGCTGTCGGGAGCCACATGCAGCAGCAGGCCATGGGGTGGGTAGGAGGCTGTCTGTGTGCCCCCCAAAAGGGGCTCCTCATGTGCCCAGAGCACCCTTGCACCTCCCGGGGGCCAAGGGACCTCATGCAGATTCCCTTGCAGATTCCCCCCGGTGGGCTGGGAGGGCCTGGGCCTGTACTTGTGTGAACAGCGAGCTCCTGGAGGCCGGAGGGCTGACCTGTAGGCATCAGCGACCTGTGGGCCACGGGGAGGCCACCGGGAGACTGGCTGCAACCTGCGGTATGCAGTCTGTAGAGAGGCTGTCAGCAGCTGGCGGCAAGTGAGGGTGCAGCTCTCGCTCCCCAGGCACGCGGCCCTGGCTTCCATAGCCAGCGCTGCAAACAAAACAACTCCCCCACACTCCCCTCACTCTTGGGTCCCGGAAACCCCACATTTCAAGGGATTGAGGTGGCAAACTTATAAACCATTTTCCTGTTAAATGCTCCCTCTTTCATCTGAGAATTTAGAGACCCATTCTGCTTCTAGAAGCAGCTTTATTTTTGGACTCGTTTAATACTTTTTTGCCTGCTAGAGTAGGATTTTATTTTAGTTGTGAATTTTTTTGAGCAACGCTAGTGCTGAAGGAGGGAGGTGTGAGTCATGCAGCTCCGTGCGGGAGGGACGGCACGTGGGGGACAGTGCGGCTCCCGGAAGGGACTCGGGAGCCACTCGGGGACCCAGCGTGCGCACCAGGGCTGCACCCCATTCGCTCCGGGTCCTGAGAGCAGAGATCTTGTGCAGTTTTCACCGACTGCTGGGACCCAGCCTTCTACCAGTTGGCATAGCAACGGTTTCACAAGGGACCAGGCAGGGGCAGGAGAGGGCACGGAACATCCTTGGGGGCTGCTGCGCCCCACCACCCTGTGGGGTTGGCTGGGCTGTGGCGTGGGAGTGGTTTGCTGCCTGTCGTCCCCAGGGCTGACCTGGGGGAGGGCTGGAGGCCCTTGGGACGCCGGGCGGGGCATTGGTGAGGACAGGGTTCTCATAGGCTCAGACTCTGGGACCAGAATCCAGGCCTGGTGGCCCCGCTGTCATCAGTCTTCATGTGTCTGTCACATGGCAGGGCTGCCCAAAGGTCTCTGCCCTGGCTTGGGGCTGCACCGGGCCTTGGCAGAAGATAAAAACAAAACGAGCCGACACCTCCCGGCTTCCCTGGAGAGGATGCATGTGCACAGGCGCGCGCGCGCGTGTGTGTGTGTGTGTGTGTGTGTGTGTGTGTGTGTGCCTGCGCGAGTGCATGTGCGAGGGAGGCTCTCTGGTGATCAGCTGGGGCCCTGTAATGAGCAGAGAGGAGCCAGGAGGCCTCAGGAGACTCAAGTCCATGACCTTCATTAGCACGGCTGCTTGAAAACATCTACATCTGCCTCACTGGTTCCCAGCGCAGGGCACCTGTGGCTCTGTCGTGCTCAGCATGGTTGTAAATCACTGCCCCTTTCCTTCTGCTCTTTCGGGAGTCCTCACCTGGGCCACAAACAGGCTTCGGCCACGCCAGGTCCCCAGGCCCACTCCTCTCCAGACTGCACTGTGACCACCCCTGGAAGTGAGCAGTAGGCAGCTGCACCCCAGAGATCCAGCTGTGCCCTCCTATGGCCAGGATACAGGTGGCCCCGGTGGTGGTGGTGGGCGAGGGGCTGGCTCTGGACAGCCTGGGACTCAGCACTGGTGTCCACCTGCAGTAGCCCACTATGTAGCCCAGGCTGGTCTTGAACTCATGATGATCCTCCTGCCTCAGCCTCCCAGATACTGGGTTTACAGGTGTGCACTGCCACACCTAGCTTTAAAAAAAAATTTAAGGCAGAGTCTAAGTCAGTAAGTTGCCCATGAAGGGCTCAAACTTGCAATCCTCCTGCCTCAGTCTCCCAGAGTGCTGGGGGTACAGGTGTGCACAACCATGCCTAGCTTCTGGTGTCTGTTTTTCCGTTTTTAGCAGTCTGGCATTTCTCGGCTTGTAAGGAGTCATCCTGGTTGCTGCTTTCATCTCCACACAGCCCTCTTCCCCTTGTGGGGTACCAGTCTCCAAGGTCCCATTTTCAAAAGGGAACCAGTGACATCCCATCACTGGGCCCAGGCGTCTGTCCTCATGTTAGCTCAGTGACGTCTGTAGCACCGACCTTTGTCAGGTCAACCTGGACTGACCCCAGCTGGGGGAGCAAAGTTGTAGCAGTTTCTGTGACGTAAGGTGACAGGGGCCCCGGTAGTGGGAGGCTGTCCCGGGCAGGGGGTGGGGGTACTAAATGGCACAAGGGCCCAGTTTCCTGAACAGGGATGGCACCATGAGGGGCAGGACAATGGGGCACAAGGCCCGGCTCCAGGCAGGAGGTGCTCCCTGGGGGAGCTGGATGCTGGATCTGTGCTACAGCACTCACGGGTGAGCACACCACCCTCCAGCCAGGGACGGGGGCAGTCAAAGTGACCTTCACTACCTACAGTACAGGAGTGTGACCAAAGATATGTGTGTGTTTACATAAGCAAAGAATTATCACGGTAAAGACGCATCGCCACGAATCCCTTCAAAAGCTCCTCCCTCGTCCCAGCCCCTCCTGCAGCCGCTCTGGAGCCCTCTTTCCTGAGTGTCTTTAGCTGCGCTGTCCTGGCTGCCTCCATGTCCTGAGTAGATTCAAAACATTTCCCTGTCATGGTCATTCTGACCTTGGGGAAGAACCGGGGGTCACACAGAGCCAGATCAGGTGACAAAGGTGGACGAGGTCACAGCGTTGCGCTCTCATGAGCTGTCTTTCCGCTGGGTGGTGGAAAGTCACTGTATTGTTTTTTTTTTTTTTGGGGGGGACCGGGGATTGAACTCGGGTCTTTGCGCTTGCAAGGCAGGACACCGAACCGCTGCGCTAAATCCCGGGCACTAGTCACTGTATTTTTATCACACCTCAGAGACCCTCAGGAGAGAGGACTCCAGAGCCGCTGCAGGAAGTGGCCAGGATGATGGGATCAGTGTGTGTGAGGTGGAGAGGAAGGCCTGGATCCATGTCTAGTACCAGAATAAATTTTTAATTTATCGGAGTGTTTTTGTTTTTGTTTTGGTACCAGGGATCGAACTCAGGACGTTGCGCTTTCGAGGCAGGTAGTGGAACCACTGAGTACATCCCCGGCCCCTAAATTTTTAATTTAAACATGTACCGCATGTTCCCATTAGCCCTTGTGGGTGACAGATTCTCTGTCGCCCTCTCCTGTGCCCTAAATATTTGTTGACCTTGCTCACCACCGTTCTGGGTAGGCAGCAGACCCAGCCTCCTGTGAGCATGTGACACCTAGGGTGGGCGGCAGTTCCCAGAGTGTCCCCTTGGAGGCCTGTCCTGGGTCTGACACCCTCTCCCCTCTCGGACCCCTAGAGAATGGCCTCTCCTTGCTGAGCTACCAGCTGTGCAGCTACCAGGAGACCCGGATGGTGCAGCGGGTGGAGGCGGTGCAGACGTCCCACGTGACCCACGTGGCCTGCGGCGGCTGGATCCCGTGGCGGCGGTGCCCCAAGACCGTCTACAGGACCCAGCACCTGACCGTGACGGTGCCCGAACCCAGGAACGTCACCGCCTGCTGCAAGGGCTACGAGCAGCTGGGCGTCTACTGCGTCCTGCGTGAGTCCAGGGCGGGCCAGGGTGGGGTCCTCCCGGGAGGGAGGGGTCTGGGGTCCTGGGCCAGATACTGGGCCAGGTCCTTCGCCGGGACGGACTGCCTTCACACCTCCGCTCCTCTGCGGGCGGCGGATGGGGAGTGGAGACGCCAAGTAGGCTTTCCGTCATCGGCTGCACCTCGGGGCCCCTGGATGCCCGGCCGCACCTGTGCTGGCTCGGGGCTGGGCACTGGGGTCTCCGAGCCTCCTCCCGGGCTCCCCACACGCAGAGGCCGAGGCTAACATGGCAAGCTCTGTGGTAGTCGCACTGTTTCTCCTTTTTCTGTTGTTTTTGTGGTGCTGGGATCGAGCCCAGGGCTTTCTTGCTGTGTGACATCCTCAGCACTTTTTTAGTTCTTTGAAGTTAGGGACTGGGTCTCGCTGAGTCACTCTGTTGCCCAGCCTGGTTTTGAGCCTGTAATCTTCCCGCCGAAGCCTCCCAGAGTGCTGGGAGGAGACAGGCAGCATCACCACTCCTGGCTTTGCCTTTTCTTCTTAAAGGTCATAGGGACCTGCCGGTCTCCGCTGGGATCCTAACCAGAACCTAGCAGAGATGGAAGGGGCCCACAGGCCCTGCCCTCCTGAGGCCTTGGCAGGGCCTGGTTACCAGGGCGACCAGCCTTTGTCATGGAGAAGGCCTGTGCTGACCCCTTGCAGGGAAGGCTCTGTGTGAGTGTGTGTGGGTGGCTGTTACTTTGAGTCAGTGCCAGATCAGATAAACCCTGCACAGTCAGAAGGTCCTGCTTCCCCCTGCATGGGGAGACGGGAGGGGTGACGTGAGGTGTCAGTGGAGTGTCTGAGATGGGAGGGCTGCCACTGCAGCCTGCAGAAGACACCAGCTCCAGGTGCCAAGTGGGGCCCCAGCACCATCCCTGCGGCTGGTCGCCTGCAGGGTGACACACGAGCTGGGGCCCCTGGGTCGGCACAGGCTTGCAGGAGGCTGGGGGCCAGGCTGGCTGAGCCCTCTCCTGTGTCCCACAGGCCCTGTGCAGTGCCACTGAGGTTGGCAGGGAGGCCCTGTAGTTCTGGTGAGCGTCAGACTGAGGTTAAAGGTCACCACAGCCACCAGCACCAGCGCTACCTTTACCAGGAGGCACCAGAGGGGCCGCCGAGCTCAAGCAGTGGCCATTCTGGGTCCTTGTTGCCTCCCGATGATGGAGGCACTGGTAAGGACAAGCTGTGTCCTGCCAGGTGCTGGGTCTCAGGCAGCCATTCCTATCCTGACAGCTGTGCCCTTCTCAGTCCCTGCCCCCAGTGCTGTGGGCACTTAGGGGCTGGCCAGCAGCCAGCAGCCAGCATCCATCCCCGGGAGTAGCAGTCCACTGCCAGGGACCCTGCACTGTGGCACAGGTGTGGGCTCTGCAGCCAGAATCTAGCAGAGCAGGGAGTCACCAGTGCCTGTGCCCTGTGCTGGCTGGGTCCACCTTCTTCCTGTCAGCTGCCAGTGAGGTCACAGGGCAGAAGGGCAGTGTGTGTCCTTGACCAGGCGGGTCCTGGGCTGCAGGGCAAGGACTTCCAGTTAGCATCCCAGGGTGGTGGGGGAACCAAGGCTTGACCTGCAGGTGACCTTGGGGCAGGTGCCAGGCGGGGCTGTGCTGAGGGAGGCTGGGGCCAGGACAGTGCAGGGTCCCCTCAGGTCTCAGGGTGCCAGTCTGATAGCAATGGAGGCAGACAGGAGCAGGAGGAGGAAGGAGGGAGGGAGAGAGAAGAAGGGAGGGGAGGGGAGGGGAGGAAGTCGGTCCTCATTCAGCAGGACTGGATGGACGCGGACACTGCAGTTCAGCCCACGGGGACACGGCCCGGGAGGGGCCGTGATGCAGCCCAGTGGGCAGCCAGGGAGGGAGCCGGGAACTGGGCCGGGATCTAAACCAGGGCCGGGCTCCAAGCTGTGCCTCCAGAGGTGAGGTTTAAAGCACTGGGGGAAGGTGTGTGCGAGGGGCGGGAGGAGGATGTTTCAGGTTGTCCCTGAGGAAAGTCCCTGGGGGCGATGGGTGGCTCCCAGCTGCCCAGAGGGCCCAGCGTGAGTCCCCGCCCAGGAAAGGGAAGCATTGGCACCAGGTGTGGGAAGCACAGCTGTCCCTCGGCGCAGCTCTTTGATCAGAGCATGCTTGGCTTCGCTCGAGGACACCTGGTGACAGCATGGCTCCTTGGGGCTGGAAATGACATCGCTCCACACAGGGCCAGCTAAGAACTGGGCTCTGTCTGGTTTAAAACGAGGCGGGGCCGGAGCCAGACCCAGCAGACATCCGGGAGGACAGAGAGAGAGGCCAGACTCCTCTCTGGGACGGGCACCTGTGGTGGGTCCTCGTCCCAGGCAGCTGCGACGTGCTGGCTCCCTCCTGTCCCCCACCCAGTGAGAAGGGCAGGAGGCTGTGACAGACTTCTGACCGGAGCCTGGCCCTCAGAACAGTGACAAGCCACACGTGGTCCAGTGGAGCTAGAGCAGGGTTACAGAAGCGAACTGGCAGGCCACACAGTTTGGAAGTGCAGAAGTAACCTGGGGAAATTTCCCCGGGGCCCCCAACCACCCTGGTGAATGTTTTCCCCCGGCCCCCCGTATGATGGGCTTAGCAGCTTCTCATTCTAACTGTTGTGAATCAGGCCACGTATGGTGGCCATCCTAGGGCACCGGCGCCGCTCTGCACAAGCCAGGGTGTGTACGCCGGGCCGAGGGTCTTGGTAACAGTGCTCTCGGCAGGGTCTCAGTAGTGCATGGGGACTCTCCTTCGGACAACCAGGACCCCTGTGCTCCCCACCCACCATCATGACACCCGACTCTGCCCGCCAGCGGTGGGGTCCTCCACCCTGGAGCCCCGGCTGCTGCTGGCCGAGCAGAAACCCAGGCCATCATCCCACTGAGCTGTGTTCACCGGCTGGGTGACAGCGGTGGACAGCGACCTTCGGAGTTAGGGAGGAGGAGAACTGAACTTCCTCCCGGGCCCGCAGGGGCCGGAATCGTCAGCCGTCCTCACACAGAGACAGACTTGAACGCCAAGACTCTGCAGCCAGTTAGAAGCCAGCGTGGGGACGGCCTGTTTCTGCTCATGGAAACAAAACTGCTAGTTTACAGTCGCTCTAGACTTACAGAGAGGTGGGGAGCTACTGCAGCGGGCCCCCCCACACTCAGAGTTTTCCCGAATGCCAGCGTCTTCCCTGCAGGGAACAAAGGACCCAGCCTGGGCTGCGGTGGTTGTGAACTCCGAGCTTTGTTCGGCATTTGCTGCTACCCTGTGGCCTTCTCTGTCTCCAGGACCCTCACGGTGATCCTCACATCTGCTCAGCCATGAGGGCCCTGTGCTCCTGTGGGAGATGGAGCAGCGACTTCCGGCTCTGGGATCGGCGCCGTCCTTGTCCTGCACACAGGGGTGGTTTTCATGTCCCAGGGGCACTCTGGCCAAGCCTTTTCACCTGGCCAGTTCCCCTGTGGGGTCTGTGACTCTTGGTTCTGTTGAGTCAAGGTCTGGCTATGCAGTTCAGGCTGGTCTTGAACTCACCATGTAGCCCAGGCTGGACTCAAACTCATGGCAATCCTCCTGTCAGCCTCCTGAATGCTGGGATTACAGGTGTGGGTCACTACACCTGCTAGACCTTTCTAAGATTTCCCGAAGCCCTTTTCTCAGAAACCCACCATGGTGTCCCCAGCTCCTAGCCGAGGTTCTGGTGGTCACCAGGGCCACCACCCTCGCAGGTGACTCCATGGTCTTGGGCCCTGTGTCCCGCGGTCCCTGCTGCATGCTTTCCCGGAGCTGCATCCAGCTGCGTTCACATAGAACAGCCTGTGAATGGCCACGGCCAGATCCCAGGCCTCAGCTGACCCCTTGGGAGGATGGCAGAGTGCCAGTAGCATAGCGGCTGTCACAGTGGGTCCTGGTCTTCCCCAGCTGCTTTCCACAGGGAGGGAGCTGGACAGCAGCCTTGGTTGGAGCCTCCCCTTCCCTGTACCCTGTGCCCCCATGCCACCTGCCAGCCCATCCTGGATACTCTGGGTGACCTCTGGGTTCCTCCACCAGCCACCCGTGCACAGAGCCCTCTCCAGGGCATCTTCCCCACCAGCCCAGCAGGTCCCCAGGAGGAAGCAAGCCCAGCTGTGGTGCCCACGTGGTCATCAAGGGCTCTAGTTCTTGTTGCCAGCGTTGCATATGTCCCCTCTCCCCGCAGCTCTGAATCGGTCCACAGAGTTCGCATCACGACCTGGGATCTGCCCGACCGCAGTGCCGGAAGCCCCCGTCTCCCCATGTAGCTTGGATGCTGACTGCCCTGGAATTCAAAAGTGCTGTCCCTGGAGAGGGGACCACCACTGCGTGGACCCTGCACCCCAAGGTAGGGCTGCTGCGGGGTCTGGGGAAGGTTTGCTGTTGCGGGGCTGCCAGCTGGGTGCAGGTGGGCCCTGGAGCCTTGGCAGTGGAAGGGAGGGCTCTCGGTGCCCTGGGCTAGGAGACCAGCCCGATGGGCAGAGAAGCCAGGTGCCCATGTGCCAGGGATGTCGGGGAATAGTGGGTGGGCAGTAGCCACATCTCCGGTGGCTCTGCAGCCATCTCCGACCGAGCGCCCTCCCTCCACTCCCCACGGACAGGTGTGGACGGCCCAGTGTGCCTGTCTGCTGGTCGGAGGCTTCTCCTGACTGGGGACTGGGCTTGGACCGCTCCGGCCAATGTCCAGGCGAGGGTGTACGGATCACTGTTATGAGAACCACTCAGGGTATTCAGTGAGTGCTGAAAATGAAAATGTATTACAGCAAAAGACACATTGCCCCGAGTCTCTCTCAAAATCCTCCTCCTCACTTCCCACACACTGATCCCATCCTCCCTGCCACTTTCTACCGCGACTCTGGAGTCCTCCTTCCTGAGTGTCTTTCTGAGGTGTGACAAAAAATACAGTGACTGAAATGGCTCGTAAGAACTTGGTGCTGTGTCCTCGTCCACCTGAGTCCCCAGATCTGGCACCGTGTGACTCCCAGCTCCTCCCCAGAGTCAAAATGGCCATGACAGGGAAGTGTTTTAAATCCATCCAGGACACGGAGGCAGCCAGGACGGCGCAACTAAAGACACTCAGGAAAGAGGGCTCCAGAGCCGCTGCAGGAGGTGCAGGAGGAGGGGAGGAGTGTATTTGAGTGAGAAGCGCTTGGAGGGGATTAATGACAGCCTGCCTTTAACTGTAAAAATGTAACCATTCACCACATTTTCGATCAACCCAGTACATGTAGATGCATCACCTACAACATGTGAGGTCATACTAGTACCATGTGTCACCATCACGAATGGTGTAAATAAAGTACTGCAAACTATGGCTCCAAAGTGCAGCTGGCTTCCCACACCCACGGGTTCTATGCGAACACTACCATTTTACATGAGGCTCTTGAGCCTCGTAGATTTTGATCCCTGGAGAGGCCTAGTGTCTGTCCAGCAGAGATACTGTAGGACAACTCATATGCTCATCATAGGTACTACGTACAGAGGACTCACTGCAGGAAAAGAAAACTTGTATGAACGGTTTAATACTAAATGTATGGAGACATCAGGAGAGCCACACATGTTACCTTTGGCCTCTGCAATGACAAGAGGTGCTCACAGTGGTGGCCATGTGCTCCCAGATGTTTATTAGCACGGTGAACTGCTGCCTTTTCAGTTCCTTCTCCAAGGGCCGGCAGTGCAGTGGGTTTTCTGTGATACACAGCCACCTCTAGGGTCCCCCATCTGCTGAAGACACATCCTACTGTTTCTCTTTCCTGGAGTGTGTATACATTTTTTGGCGGGCTCTGTAGTATCAGTATACATCAGTATAGTACGTAGTCGTAAAATAATAGTATAAATAGTACCGGGTGTGATCGTGCTGCCGTGGGCTCCCTCTTCTGCAGTCTGTACACTATGGGATGCGTGGGGTGCGTGTCACAGAGCACCCTGTGGTCACCCTGCGATGCTGTGTTGTGTAGTTACGGCACTGTATACGTATGCTATCTGATGACGACCGTGTAGGTAATGGCTGTCGCACAGCAACTGTGGGTGTCGTTGTGTTCAGGACGACTGGCCTGTCTAGTTGAGCATGGTCCCTGCGTCATCACAGGTGGGGCCCCTGGTCTTAGTGGCCACCGGAGGGAGGAGGGTACAGTGGCCTGAGGCCCCTTGTCTGCCCCTTAAAGTGCTGCGTGGCCTCCTGTCTCCCAGGCTGCTGTCCCCTCGCCTGGGGGCCCCTGTGGCCCTGCCCCCAGACACCCATCTGTCTTTGCCCTCCAGACGCAGGTGAGAGCCCGTGGAGCTGGTACAATGTGACCATGCGGGTGAAGACGGACTTCGAGGACCTGCAGCAAGTGGACCCCAAGCTCCGGAACCACTCGCACCTCCTCTGCTCCCTGGTGGGTGCGATGCGGGGACCCTGTGCTGCCTTCTAATGCGAGCCGTGTCGGTGGGAGGAGCTTTAAGTGGGCAAGAGACCCACGCAGCTCCTGCACCCCCATTTCCCCACGGAGACCTGGGTGGGACTGCATAGCCTGCTGTGGTTTGGGTGACGCCGGCGTGGTGTGTGGCTGCCACTGCGCCTGGCTTCCTGGGGCTGTGGAGTCAGGAAATGAAGAGCAGACACGGGACAGGGTTGCACTGATGCTGTGATTTTGACAGTTGGCGGGATCTCCCACCACACTCTAGCTCCCATCCCTCGGTGCATGGCTCCAAGGACCTGGGGTCCTGGCTTGGGCGGGGTGGGGGGGCCCCAAGGGTCCGGGGTGACTGCTGTGTGAATGTCCTGTGGCGGAAGGCCACCAGCGGGCACAGACTGACCCTCTGCATTGGCCCAGGAATCTCGCAACAGGCACGGCAGGGCTGGCTCCTCTGGGGCGCCAGGCCTCTCTCGGAGGCCCAGGACAGCTGTCCTGCTCTGCTCCTCCCCCTCGGTGTTTGTCTCTGCTCAAGTTTCCCTTTGCGTCCGCGTACGACCCCAGCCCTCCTGGATCCCGGCCCACCCTAATGAGCTCATTTTGCCACATCTGCCGCAAAACTGTTCCCAAATAAGGCCACGTCCCAGGATGCCAGGGGTCAGGGCTCCAGCATGCCAGCCTTGCTCGGGGGCACAGTTCAGCTGAGAAGTGGAGGGTGCCAGAGCTTGGGGCTGCGGCCGCAGACGCCAGCGGGGCTCTGTGTAGAGCAGCCTGAGTCTGCAGCTGTGCCCGATGGGGAGCACTTCCCTGACTCCACCTCTTTTCTGTCTGGGGCGCCCTTCCACATTTGACACCCTCTTTCCGGCTTCACAGGTGGCCAGTGCCTTGCAGCCGCTGGACTCTGCCGTTCACTACCTGGGCTCTGCCAGCGGGGACACCTCCACCACGGTGTCAGGGCTGCTGCTGGGCCTGGCCCGGCCGCTGTCTGTTGCCAACGTCTCCGCCATGCTGGACGACATCATGAGGCGTGTGTGTGAAGTGATGGGCATCTGGGTGCAAGGTTCGTCTTCCTGGGGGCCCACAGCGGGGCCTGGGCAGCCCAGGTACAAGTGGACTCTGAGGCCAAACCAGGATGGTGTACACTGAGGGGATCAGGTCCGGGCGAGAGGTCCCGGATCGAAGGTCCTTGCCTAAGTGCACAGCTGCCGCCTTGCTCCTGGGAGAAACGAGCTGGCCACTTCATCCAGTTTTGCATCGGTCCAAGCCAGGGGTTGGCACCCAGCTTGTGGCAAGGGCCTTGGGGGCCACGTGTCCTCCCTGCCAGCAGCGAAGCAGCCACTGAGGCCCGCAGGCCCGCGGCTGGGGGCACAAACTCCGCCTCCATCAGCAGGTGCAGCTCACCCTCCTGACAGGCGGCTGCTCTGGGGCTGTGGTACTGCAGGTCACACGTGACGGTGCCAGGGTCAGAGCTTGGGTGGCATTTTCCTTCCCCTGAGAGCCACAGACATTCTTGAGACCCGAGCTAGGGCTTTGCGGGGGACCAGGGACAGCTGGTTCCGCCTGCCCCGACTGTGCCCTGCAGCTGGTGGCCACCCGGACCCTGGAGGCCGAGACCCTACTGCAGGGTCCACGGGAGCGAGGTTGGGGGCTGCCGTACAGCAGGGGCATCTGCATCCAGGCGACTCCGTCCGCCTCACCCACAGGAAGTGGGAACGTTGCACTGAGACGGGCGGAGTGGGGGATGACTAAGCCTCAGGAATTTGGGCCCAGGGAGGGGCTGGTACTGCGGGTGACCCGGGAGGGGATCTGCACCCCTGCCCAGATGCAGCTGCAAGAGCCTGGCTTTGCCTTGCTCCGTCCTGGGCACAGAGCGGCTTGGTGTGAGGTCAGGGTCAGGGGACGTATCGGGTCACGATGGGGGCTCACTGGGCCTCTCCTTCACAGATGTGGACGAGTGTGTCTACGCCGGGCTGCAGCCCTGCTCCCGGGGGCAGCGATGTGTGAACCTGGAAGGCTCCTACCAGTGTCTCAGAGGCACCCAGGCACCTGCCCCATCGGCCCCTCTGCTGGGCCATGCTGGCGAAGGTAACGCTGGGCTCCTGGGGTGGTGAGGACGGTGCAGGGGTCCCTAATGGACCACAGAGGCCTCTGTCTCTTCCCTCGAGGCCACAGCTCCTGCTGGACATGGCGCTGGGTTCTCGGGGCCGCGTGGGGCTCCTGGCCGGCTGTCCTTGCGCGGTGCTTCCGTGTGTATCTGGTGCTGCCCCCGGGGCAGACACATGCAAGGGCGGGCCCTGACTGCTCCCTGGCAGGATGTCAGCCACTCGAGGCCTGTTGAGCGTGGCCTTGACCTTCCAAGAGGTGGGGGACACAGTCCTGTTTATGTTGCAGCTGCAGACACAGCTGGGCGGTGCTGGCTCTGCAGGGTGACAGGAGCCGCCTGCGGGCACTGGACAGGAGAACCTGGTCTGGTGTGGGGGGCACATGCGGTCAGCACCTGCGTCAGGCTGTCAGGAGTCACTGCGTACAGGGGTCACCCTTGCTTGGTTCCACTTTCTCATGATTATCAAATAGTAAATGAAAAACTCTGGAGATAAACAGTTCCTGAGTTTTCAGTTGCAGTGGGTCTGGAGCCCCATCCTGCTCGGCTCACGACTCATGCCTGTGTCCTGTGTATGCACTCTGGGTACGCAACCTTCCCGGTAGGCAAGGAGCAGCCACCTCGGTCATCAGCTGAGGCTTGGATGGACTGGTGCCTCCTCTCAGATGCAGTGGGCCCTTGACTTACGAACTCAATTCATTCCTGAGCAATGACTGTAACTCAGATTGGTCAGTGAAGGCTCAGGCTCCTCTGCACAGCCTTCGAGGTCTCTCTCCTGCACGCAGCAGATCTCAGAGTTCTCAGGGAGACACTGGCCCGGGACTTCTCAGGGAGCCCCACACAGGAAAGGGTGCTGTTCTGTTCCTTCCAGAACTCTGTAAGGGTTAGGTCTGCATCTGAGACCATCTGAAAGCACAAGTGATTAACATTCAGGTTGTAACTCAAGACTTTGTTCAGTAGCTAAAATGAAAATTCCGGTTATAACCCAAGTTGTTTGTATGTCAGGCCGGTTGTAACTCAAGGGTCCACTGTATTTCCTGCTACGTCTTGGGTGCTGCTTACCGTGTTTCACCATAGTGCCCTCCCCTTTCACACTGGATTTTACCTTACTGAAATGCCACTGAGGCGTAATTTTGTGCCTTGGTGTGTTCACTCCTCATGTGTGAGGAAAGTCTCCACCCTGGGTAGTTTTTGGTGATGGGGGAGCTGGTGTCCTACAGCAGTGATGTAACTCTCTCAGCTCTTTCCCCGGGGTGCGCTCTGATGGCATCGGACATTCTGCTGTGAAGATGCCCACTTTAACGTCAGGATGCAGTTTAGAGAATGCCCAGGTCGAACCTGTTCACTACTGATCTGTGTGCTCTTCTCCCTTGAAAAGGACTTGCAGGGAAGAGGCTGGGACTTCTCAGTGAGCCCCACACAGGAAAGGGTGCTGTTCCGTTCCTTCCTCCCTCCCCTCAACACCATGTGAGTCCCCAGTGCAGAGGCCCGCGTGCCCTGCAGCCACATGCACCTTGGGAGCTGAGGTGTGCACAGCTGGGGAGGCCGCCCTGCACCAGCTTCACCTGCGTGTCTGTCCACACCTGGACAGCGCTGCCTGCGATGGCCCTAGGCTTTGTGGTGCTTCGACCAAAGTGTCATTATGCAAAGCCCAGCTGCGTTTGCTGGGCGACACCAGCTCAGAGAGCTTCTCTCTCGCTTCTCTGCGACCTGGAAGGTCTGCCCGGCTCATGCGCCTCTTCCTCCTCACGACCCTGTAGCCCCAGTCTGCAGTCTCCACAGTGCACAGATTCCAGGGCAAGGGTCTTGGCCCTTTCTTGGGAACACAGACTGCACTCAGTCATTTTTAGTCTCATCAGAAATCTGAAAAAACATCAGGCTTTGTCGCCAATGGTCAAGGTTGCCGCCAGCCTCGGCCCCACCCCCCAGCACCGGAGATGCACGCTGCCTTCTGGGACACGGACAGGGTGGCCACACAGGCCTGGCCACACTTCCAACAGCACAGACAGACACACCCCGTTTCCAGATCGGAGACAGGGTGAATTCTGACTGCACGCTGCAAAGGGCGCAGCACGTGTTTTAAATTTAGAAGCTAACAGAAATGAGCAATCTGCTGGAATGGCTCAGGGGGACAAGTTCTTGGAAAATACAGCACAAATTTCAGATATTTTTCTTGTGAAATTAGTCACCCAATTAAAGACGTACAGGCAGCTCGATCCTTGCCCAGATCAGAAACGGGAAGAAACACTGTGTGGTTTGCACTCCGCCCTGTAGGCTTTGGGGACCGCAGGGGTCCCCTGATGTGACTCTGCTGCCTGCTGAAGCCCACCGGCTTTTCAGCTCTATAGGGAGAAGCCTCCTGGGGCCTGGCAGGCGTGGGTGCCGGTGTGTGGAGCCAGGGCTGGCACTGAGCCCCAGCCCAGTTCCCCCAGGTCTGGGCCCGCTGCTGTGATCGGTTTCATGTGAATGTCAGGTCCTGGCTCCAGTCCAGCTCAAGTCTCCACCGCCCCGGGCCCGGTGTCAGGCTGGCCAGGGAGAAAGGGACGAGTCCACAGAGAGCTCACGGGAGAGGTGGCACTCAGAAGCGCGAGCCCAGGCCACAGATGGGAGGCTCTGGGGTGGCCGCACGAGAAGGGTCAGGCCTCGGATTTATGGCCCCAAGCCTAGGACGGGGAGTGGCAGGGAGAACCGTGCTGCCGGGGCCCTCGGATGAGGCAGTCAAGAAGTAAGTTTGTTTGTAAGCTCACATTTGAAGAGGGTTACCGAAAAGCTACAGTAACCAGGGAGGGGTCCTGGCCAAGGAAGGGCCCCAAACCAATCCCAAGGGGCTTGTCCGGGACACAGAGAATCAGAGGTGGAATGAATCGTTCTGATTTTAAAACGTCTCAGCCAGCGTGGGGGTGTGCAGTGTCATCCCAGCACTCTGCAAGGCAGGGAAATGGCACGGTCCACACCTGCCCAGGCATCTCGGCCTCTATCTTAAAATAAAAAAATAAGAAAAGAGCTGGGCTGCAGCTCATCTGTCCCACAGAAGCAGGATTAGCCTGAGGGTGTCAGAAGGTACTCAGTTTTTCAACAATGTAAGAGGAACCCACCCACAAGTTGTGTGGCCCGGCCGTGGGGCAGCTGCCTGGAAGCCTAAGACTTGGGACACACGTGAGTGTCTTGTGGCTGCTGTGACAAAGCCACTGCCACACAAACAGCCAGAGAGTGTTAGCAGGGATCACTGGCCACACCCAGGTCCAGGCAGGGCTTCACTGCCTGTTTCTGCCTCTTTGCCTTCTGGTGGCTGCCAGCACCCCTTGGCTTGTGGTCCCACCTCCCTCTTCAAAGACAGCTCTTGTGCTCTCCGTGCCCTGCATCACAGGGCCTCCCTTCTGCATGGCCAAGGCTCCCTCCTCCCCGCTTTTATCAGGACACTTGGGATCGTACTCTGGGCCACCACGGATTGCCCAGGACAGTCTTCCCATCTCAAGATCCCTAACTTGATGGCACTTTTGAAGACTGTTTTCCCGAGTAAGAGTCCCAGAGATGAGGACCTGTTATCTCGGGAAGGCACCTTCTAGCCTTGCTTGGTGGGAGAGAGGGCGGCTCAGGTGTAAAGCAAGTGAACTTGTCCTGAGTCATTCGACAGCTTTGCCGTTCCAGCCTGGCCTTTCTGGGCCTCGGTTTTGTCTTCTGTGAGTGGGGGTCGTAGAAGAACCTCTGTGAGGGTTGTGGTGGGACTCGGCACGACCTGGGTGGTATGGCCGTGTCCCTGCTGTAGGAGGCACTGGTGGGTGTTTCTTTGTGCCTGTTGGGCACTGTCATGAGTGTGAACTTGTTGCCAGGCTTGGTGGCCGAGTCAGGTCATGGCAGTTGCTCGGGAAACCCAGCACCATGTGAAGTTGCCGCTACTGCAGGCGAGAAGTGGCTGGAGGGGTGGTGCTGCCGTGGATGAGATCGGGACGTCCCCAGCCTCGCAGGGTCACAGGAGTGGCCTGCGCAAGGTGACCGGCTCACAGGCCTTTGCCCCCACGCCTGGCAGAGAGGCAACGAGGAGACGACGGGTCACAGCCCAGGCAGGGACCCCGAGCTGCTGCTCGAGCCTTCACCTGGGGCTCCACTCACCCCACCTTCCTGTTTTTGGGGTGTCCTGCCGTCCTGCTTGTCATGTGTTTTCATAGCACAAAAGTAAAACGGTTGGTGCTTTCAGCAGATATTTATTTTGTTTTTCTGAGACAAGTTCTCGCTGTGCAGTCCAGGCTGGCCTTGAACTCACTGTGTAGCTCACTGTTGGCCTCAAACTAGTGAAGAGCCTCCTGCCTCAGCCTCTTGAGTGTTGGGTCTGTGTAGTACAAAGCGGAATTGAGTCTTTGTACTTTACTTCTCTTCCCGTCCTTGGAGCGTGGTGAGGGAGCGGCAGGAATTGGCATGAATGGGAGCAATGCTGTCCACTGAGGCAGGGACCACGTGGGCTACTGGAGATCGATCCCTTCTGCTCCGAGACAGGACTGCAAAAGGCACCACGGGGAACCAGACGCTCAGGTGGTTTACGAAAAGCAGCTTAGCACCTGGTCAGGGCTGTGTAAGTTGCGGGGCTGTGATTGGATGTGAAATGTGATTCTGAGCCTCTTGGTAGCCAAGGCAAAAAGGGAAATGGGTTGCATTGTTTTTTGTTTTGGTTTTTTTATTGAGGAAGTGTAACATGTGTTTGGAAAGACTGAATGTTTTCCCAATAGGAGAAAGCATGAATCCTATGAGCTCCAACAGGAAGGACTTTGGGAAACCACATAGTTTGAAATTATTTGTTCTTTACTATGGTTTTATGAAAGATTTTTTTAAAGTTCCTCATTTCTTGTAGAACTGCAGCTCTGAATGCGTACACAGTTTGGTGCCTTGACTGAGGGCCACCTCTTTTTTCGTAATTTCTCCTCCCATCAGCCAGAGCCCGAGTTTTCACCTAAAACGGAGCTTTCGCTCTAGCAGAACCCCGGACACTGGCGGCTGCTACCCCAGCCTTGCAGCCTGCAGCTGGGAGCTCTTCTCTGAGATAGGTCCCCTACGCAGCCCAGGCTGGCTTTGAACTCAGCGACTCCCTGCCCCGGCCTCCCGAGTGCAGGGTGACAGGTGTGAGCCACCGCCTGGCCACAGAGCTTGGATGGGACAGGAAAGCAGGTGCGGGCCACGTGGGCCACCGGCCGGACCCGGAGGCCTCTTCCTGACGGGGCCCTCGGGGCCCAGGGTCGGCAGCCAGGAGCCAGTGCTGTGGCCATGACCAGCGCGGGTGCGAGGACACTGCGGGATCTCCACAGAGGGGCTGGCGCTCTGGTGACCACAGCGCCCACGGAGCACGGCTGTGCACGGTTCTGTGTCCTCCCGCTGCAGATGCACCCTCATCTCACCGCCCTCCAAGATGACCCGGGGTTTCCAGGAGACGGGGTGGGCGTGGCCAGATGAGTGGGTTTCATTCCTAATTGTGTCACCGTGGGCTACAAGCGGGCGTCCTGATCAGGAAGCCAGTGTCACGCCTTCAGGAAGCCCACACGTCTGCCTGCCTTCCCTCTGCTCCCCAGACTGTCCCCCGATCCGGGACCACGTGGCCCTCAACGTCACCAGCAGCAGCTTCTGGGTGTCCTGGAGCGCGAGTCCCTCTCCCAGGCGGGACTTTCACGTGCAGGTGTCCCGGGGTGAGCAGCTTCTCCGCAGCGCCTGGACCAGCGTCCCGGCCCTGTGGGTGACCGGGCTGGAGGCCGGGCAGCTGTACACCGTGAGGACCAGCTACCAGGGCTGCGGGGCCAACATCTCCACCACGCTGAGTGTCAAGACTGGTAAGGCTCGCCGGAAACCGGTCACCTCCTCGGGAGGCGGTCTCCCTGTCCCGGTCTCTGGCCCCACGCATCACCCTGTGCTTCCCGTGGTTGGGAGAGCAGACATGGCCGGCCACAGCACGCTCTGTCCCCTTTCGGCTTCCTTCCCACTCTGGCCTCTAAATTTCTCCCTCTCTCTTTTTTAAGTTTCTTACTCTTTCATTTTTTGGTACCAGGGATTGAACTGAAGACCTTGCACTTACAAGTCAGGTGAGGTGCCCCTGAGCTGAATCCCTGGCTCCCTGCATCAATTGTCTGGGGCTCACTGTGACTTCGGTCAGCAGTGACAACCAACAGGCTCTGTGGGACCCATCTGTCCATCATCCAGAGCATGTGCGGGGTGTGATAAAAAAACGGTGAAATCTACATTTTACAAATGATCACAGTAAAGACAGACTGCCACGAATCCCCTGAAAATCCTGCCCTCCCTTCGAGCACACTCCTCCCACGTCCCGGCCCCTCCTGCAGCTGCTCTGGAGCCCTCTTTCCTGAGTGTCTGCAGCTGTACTGTCCTGGCTGCCTCGATGTGCTGAGTGGATTCAAAAGGTTTCCCTGTCACAGTCATTTTGTCTCTGGAAAGAGCCGGAAATCACACGGTGCCAGATCTGGGGACTCAGGTGGCTGACGACACAGCGTCGTGTGTTTACGAGCTGCCTTTCTGCTGGGTGGCGCCGGGAAGCAGCAGTCACTGGGTTTTTGATCACACCTCGTAAAGACACTCATGGACACTCATCCCCCCGACTTAGTCTCCAGCTTCCCAAGCCCCACCTCACCTGTCCAGGGACAAGGGAGGGACACTCCTTTCCCTGGGGAAAGTGAGGCCACAGAGGGGTCACTTACCTGAGTCATCCTGCATGTGGAGGGGCGTGGGTTCTCCCCAGCTCGCCCCCTGCAGTCTCCCTATGGGGACACAGAATGGGGCCCTGCAGCCCCCGCAACACCGCACCCCGGGAAGGCTCCTCAGCCACAGCCTGGGGGGATCAGGGGCCCTCACTACCCACTGGATAGCTCCTTTTGCTGTTCAGCCTTGATTTTCTTCCCTTCTCTGTGTTTGGAAAAGGCCTTTGGTCAGGGGCCCCTGCTAATTTGGTCTCGGGCCGCCTGCGCCCCCAGGTGGTGGATGGGACCGCAGCTCGGCAGAGCTGAGTCAGGAAGGAGCAATGCTCAGATAACGCTAAATTCTGTCTGAGAGTGTTAGTCCGCGTCCGCAGCGCGTGGTGTTGGTGTTCGTGTGCGGAGTCGGGGCCTGCGCATCTCACACCCCAGTTCCTGTTTTCACCCTTTTCCCTCACCTCTCTTCCCCTCCCTCCGTCTCTTGATCCCTTTCCCATTGAGAACAACCTAGCTCCCTACTTTTACCTACTATCCCTACTGTTATCCATCTTTTATGCTACTGCATTTATAATTTGTGTTTCTCACATAAGAGAACTCATGCAACATTTGCGCTTGTGTGTCTGGTTCACTTTGCTTAGCCTTATAGGTCTCACGGTGCTTCCATTTTCACGCAGATGACTCAAGCCCAGCCTCCTTTGTGACACAGTGTGTAAATGCCATGTTCTCTTTATCCGTTCATCTGTTGATGGACATGTAGGAAGCTTCCCAGCTTTAGCTATTATGCATTGTGCTGCTATAAACATGGGCGTGCATCTGTCACTTGAATATGATGTCTTTAACTCTTATGGGAAGATACCTAGATGAGAAATAGCTGGGTCAAATGGATCGCTTTTCTAGGAAATGTCCACACTGATTTCCACAGTGGTTGCACTATTTTACCGTCCCACCAACCAGGTAGAAGCCCGCAGCCTTGCCAGCATTTGTTATTTCTGATTTCTTGATGATGGCCATTCTTTCTGGAGTGAGATGGATTCTCACATTTCCATAATGACCAGCGTGGCTGAGCATTTCCTTCTGTATTTATTGGCCATTTAGACTCCTGCTTCTGTGAAATGTCCTTTCGCTTGCTCATTTTCTGTTGGGTCTTTATTGGGGGGGGGCTCTCATTTTTTGAGTTTTTTACATATTCTAGGTCTGAGTGCTCTGCCAAGCCCTAAGTTTTAGATGACTTATTAGTGTGTTGTTATAACTGCTTCTACTTAATATCGGTTATGGTTGTGTCTTCCTCTGCCTGACTTGTGACCTTTATCCTGGGTCCGTGCTTGGGGCAGAGCAGCCTGCGTAGGTTTGGGGACTGTCTGGGCTCAGATGTCCACTGGGCATTCTGGGAGTCTCTCTGGGTCCAAGCAGGGTGACCCTTAGCACAGTGGGCACAGGTGATGGGCTCTGTGTGGGGCCCTTGGCACCAGGCCAGAGCGGGGGGTGGGCTGTTCACGGCCAGAGAAATGGGGAGCTACAGCGTGACTGCGTCCCTAGACCCGCTGACCCTCTCTGGGCAGGATGGTTTCGCTCTGGAATGAAAGTGACGGCGTTCCCCCTGTGCCACCTGGAGCCTTTTCCAGAGTCCAGAGAAAAAGTCACCTCCCTAGCAGGCGACCAGTCCTACCAGTTTCAGAGCTGGTCTGGGACTTTCAGAGCTGAAACCTGGACAGTCCCAGCAAATTGGGAGCAGTTACCCACCTCATCCTGGGGCCTTTGGGGACCCAGGACAAGGTCCTGGCTGGACCTGGTGGCTATGCACAGGACAAAGGGGTACAGCAGCCCTCCAGGACAGAAGACTTGGGGAGGTCTTTGTGCCCCATGTGTGTTTGAATCCAGTCCCTGATGGAGTCTCGGGTCCCTGTCCTGGCTGTCACCATTTGTGCTGATGGAAATATTACTTGCACGGATTCCCCCAGAGGGGTCACATCAATCTAAGCCTAATTCAGTAATGTACAGCGGACCCCTGACTTATGAACTCAGTTCGTTCCCAAGGGCTGGTTGTAACTCAAGTTGGTCAGTGCAGGCTCAGGCTCCTCTGCACAGCCTTTGAGGTCTCCCTCCTGCACACAGCAGATCTCAGTGTCCTCAGGGAGACGCCCGCCCGGGACTTCTCAGTGAGCCCACACAGGACAGGATGCGGTCCTGCTCCTTCCAGAGCTCTGAGGGTTACATCTGTTCTGAGACCATCAGGAAGCACAAGCGGCATTTGTGTTGTTACTCAAGACTTGTTCCTAAGGGAAAACTGAAATCTGATCCTAACCCAAGTTGTTCGTATGTCAGGCCAGTTGTAATTTAAAGGTCTACTGTATTTTTAAAAATTTCTCTATCAAATAATAGGTTTTATGGAAATCCTCGGTGCAAACACGTGTAACTGTTTATTATGTTCGCTTTTTTGTGTTGTTGGGGCCGGAGCCCAGGGAGCTAAGCGGGGGCTCAGCACGAGCCACACCCCTAGCCCCGCGAGGCACCCGTGACCCCAGGCTCCAGCTAACAAGTGCGCCCATCCTGTCTGCCTCAGACGCCCGGGTGTTTGAAGTTGTCATCAGGATCACAGACCGAAACCTGACAGAGCAGCTGCTGGACGGCAGCAGCGAGGAGCACAGGGACTTCTCCTGGCAGCTGCTGCGCGAGGTAAGGGCAGAGGGCGCCGGGACCCCCACTCGGCCGGCTCCTCCCCTCGAGGAGGCAAAGTCTCCCTCACCTGTGCATCAGGAAATCGGGCTCCCTCTCACAGGGCTCCTCACGCCCCCTCTTCTGGGGCAGGTGATCTAGATCTTCATAATGTGCGCCTTCCCCCAGAGGGGCTCCACCGCCCGGCTCCACCACCGGGCTTTTCTTGGCACCCAGATCCCAGCATCCGGTCCGGGCTAAGCAGGGACAGCAGCCCGTGGCCTGGTGGGTGGGGCCTGTTAAACACTGCGGAGTGGGGGGGCAGAAGTGACTTCCCAGACTGCACAAACCGAGGAAGATCTGAGAGCCGGCCCTCCCCTCAACTGAAGGGTTCCCCTGCCTCTGTCATGGACACTGGCTGAGGGAGGACACGGGGCCCCGGGTCAGACAGAAGGACAGACTCCTCCCCCGCCCCAACGGCAGGCGGCCCAGGCATCCTTGGGGCCACCTTCAGTCTGCAAGTCTCAGGAGGGGTCCTGTGTCACCGCCAGGGAGTCTCAGGAAGCCTCAGTCTTTTCTAGCGGGCCACAGACAGACCTTCCTAACCTGGCCCAGCTGGGCGCTTGTTTGTCGTACCCGGAGGTCAGTGGGCGCCCTTCCTCCCAGGGAAGCAGCCATGTGGACTCCCAAGGCCGCTCCTTTACAACAGCCGCAGATACAGGTCCTCTGCCTGTGGGAGGCGTGGACGGTTAGGAACCCATGCGTGGCTGCCCCCAAACACTCCACAGGAAGTCAGCTTTCTAGGGTGTTGGGGGACTCTTGCTTTCCCAATGCACGTTCTCTGGTGTTTGGGGGACCCCGAGTGCAGGCAGTCCGTGTGCTTTCTGGGGGTCCAGCCCAGCATGGAGGGTTCGCCAGGAGGCCCCGGGACTGACCCTTGGTGGTCCCTCTCCACCCGTCACTCAGCTCCTCCCTGCCCCACCCCCACCCCCGTTCCCTTCTCGCCAGCGCTCAGGGCACCCAGGGTGTGGTTTGTCTGATGCCCACGGCCAGAGCTGGGTTCTCTGGGAAGACGGGTCCTGTGCCCGGGAGGACGTTGCCGCCGCCGCCTTTGAGCGGCCATGGTCTCTTCCCGGCCAGGTTGAGAACTCCTTCCCGCCGGCCCTCTCAGACCTGCACAGCAGGGGGAAGCTGAGGCTGGAGATTGCCTCGCTCCGGGCGGGGAGCCTGGTGGTGTCACTCCGAGTCATCGTGCAAGACCCCGAGTCCCCAGTGGGCGTCTCCACGCTGGCCCCCATGCTGCAGCTCCTGTGTGCAAGCGCCGTGTTCCAGATTGATCCTCAGGGGACGCGAGTGCAAGGTGTGTCCCCACCCCATGCCACCTCGCTGCCCCTCCATCTCAGGTCGTCTGGGTGGCTGTGAGTAGGACTTTGCTTTATCCAAAAGCTAAATGCCGTGATGGAAACACAGGCCCTCCTCCGTGTCCCCCACAGGAACCAGGGCCAGAGCTGGGGACCTGCATCCCACCTGTGTTCGGGGAAGGAGACAGCGCCACAGAGCCAGGGACTTATTTCTGAGCAGAATGGGGCTGGGGTTCAGATGGGGCTGAGGCTGGGGCTTCCGTTCCTGTGGTTGGGGTCCAGCATCTTGGTGTCTGTCAGCTGCACCCCGGCTGGGCTGTCTGGGTTCACTTCCTGTCACCTTGGAGCATGAGGCTGTAGATGCAGGAGGGACAGGAGACAGAAAGAGACACAGAAGCAGAGAAAGCCTCCAAGTAGAGACCTGGACGCACAGACAGATAAAGCAAGGGCTGGAGAGAGAGGCAGGGGAGCAGACAGACGCAGGGGCAGAGGGGTGCAGAGCCGTCAGAGACAGGGAAGAGCTAGGGAGTAGGAGACAGAGCCAGACAGGGTGCAGCTCCTCCTTGCAGTGGGGCCTTTGCTCTGCACCTGGACTGGGACCCCCCAGTACCCCGAGCAAGTGGGTCTAAGTGTGAGCGGGGTCACCTTGGGCTCAGTGTGTGCTGGCTGTCCCCACAACCGTCCCGCCCAGGAGTGCTCATCTGCACCTTGGAGTCACCACAGCAAAGCTCAGCTGAGAAGAAGGTGGTCCCACCACTGATAGGCCTTCTCCGCTGGGCTGTGGGCTGGGGACTCTGTGTCTACCTGAGACCAGTGCTCTGGGTAGCCTGGGCCTGCCTGCCTCCCCCTACTCCCCAACTCTGATGGACCAGGTCCTGGGCTGTGCCAGGTCTTGGTCCATGGACCCTGGGCACCTGGGATTCAGGGGATTGAGCAGCAAACCCCCAAAAGGTCCATCTCTACCCAGGACCTCCAAATGTGACCTTATTTATTTAGAGTAAGGGTTTGCAGCACTAAGTAAGGTCAGGATCTCAAAATGTCGTCATCCTGTGACTCATAGAGGGTCCTTGAGCTAGGACAAGCCTTCTTTCACAAGACGGGTAGGCAGAAGAGCCTCCCGTGGGAGGTTGGAGGTGCGGGGGCGTGACCACGAGCCCAGGGGCTCCGGGAGCCGTGAGCAGCGGAAGAGGCAGGAAGAGATTCCCCTGCCAACACCTTGGTGGTGGTCTTTGCTCTGTGGCTGATAGAGAAGTCACACCTTGGGCACAGCTGGAGCGTTCCTGGGCCCTCTGGGAACACTTGCTCTCACCTGGGGGCCGAGAGTCCCTCGCCTGACCCAGAGGCTGCCGGAGCCTTTGGGGGAAGCAGGTTGTCATGACCCCGTCTTTGCCTGAGCCTCTGGCCTGGGCTGGGACTGCCCTCCTGCTCGTCCTGACCGGTCTGGCTGCCTAGTACGGTGCCGACACGTGTGGTAGTGTTCCCGGTGCACACCGCCCCGCCTCTGAGCGGGAACCGGCTGGCCTTGGCTCTAGTGCGTGGGGTCAGGCAGCGTCCCAGGAAGGAGTTCGCTCCACAGAGTGACCGAGGAAGCAGTGTGCAGAGGCAGTGGGCCACGCACCTCTGAGTCTCCACTGTGCAGAATGGAATGGGCCTCTGTCTTGGCTCAAATCCAGCCAACCCCGCACTGCTGGCCTGTTGGGCCGTGTGTGTGTTCCTGGGGACCGCCACCTGCTGCTGGGCCCAGCCTACCGCCTGGCACCCCTCAGGAACCACATGCTTCCTGAGGGTGCCGTGGCTCCTAGCAAAGGCAGCTCATTCAGAGTCCTCTCCAGCCAGCAGGCTGCACCCTGAGGCAACATCAGCTCAGCCCTGCCCAGTGGCCTCCCTGTGGGCAGTGATCCCAGCAACAGGCCTTCCAGCTTGAGATACTTTGTCTCACTGTGTAGCCCAGGATGGATTTGAACTCCCACTCATGTGCCTGCCCCTGTTCTTAGGGTTTCATTCATACCTATGGTTTAGTCGTGTGCCACAATCCACTGGCACATCTCAGAGCAGTGGAGGGCTGAGGTGGGGTAACCAGAGAATCCAGAAAGGATGGGGAGGAGGAGGAGAAAAAGAAGGGCGTGGGGGTCCCCGAGGCGCTTTGGTTGTGAAGTTTGGCCCCAGGTGGGTCTGCCCGACCAGGGCTTGGGTAGAGGTGGGGGGACAGGCGGGCAGGGACTTTGGGTCCTGAGGGTTGGAGGACCTCGCCTGCACCCTTCCCGGCCCATGGGGTGAGGTGCCCATGGCTGTTCCTGCCCAGCCACCTGGCGCCCCGGGGATGGCACAGGTGTCCACAGAGGCCTCACCCGACCCCTCCCGGCTCAGGGGTCTTTCTGTGTGTTGGCGGAAACACTGAATATTAAGGAATGTGACCCAACAGTGGGAGGGAGAGCAGACCAGAGGAGCACACAGGCGCGGTGGTGTACACCTGTCATCCCAGCACGGGGGCGGGGCTGGGGCAGGAGGGTCCCGAGTTCAAGCCCAGCCTGGGGAAGCTTGGAATTTAGGGCGACCCTGTCTCAAAAGAAAAAATACTAAAGGAGCTGGGGATGTAGCTTTGTGTAGAGGCCCGGGGTTCAATCCCCAGGACAGAAAGAAAGAGGAAGACAGGAAGGAGGCACATGCTCATGCCTGTGGGGACAGCGCGGCCAAGGAGCGGGTCCCGGTCTCCCCTCTGAGCCAACGCCGAGGGTGTGAGGCCCAGCTGTTAGTGGGGTGCCTGGTCTGAGGTCAGGGTCCCCTTCCCCAGGAGGGCCACCCAACCCCTTGTCACGCACCCCTGTCCGGCGCCCTCCATTTTCCAAGCAGTGTGGCCTCCTGCTCACCGCTGTCGCCTTCTCCCCGCAGACTGGGACGAGTGTGCCCACAGCTCTGAGCACGACTGCTCGCCGGCCGCCCGCTGCATCAACCTCGAGGGCTCCTACACCTGCCAGTGCCGTGAGGCCAGGGGTGCCAGCCCCGGCCAGGCTGGCTGGGCCTGTGAAGGTGCGTGTCCCTGTCCCTTGTCCTGTCCCCCTGTCCCTGCATCCCTGTCCCCATATCCCTGCCCCGTGTCCCTGTTCCTACATCTCTGTCCCTGAATCCCTGCCCCCGGATCCCCTGTCCCCATGTCCCCCGTCCCTGTGCCCCCATCCCTGTACCCCCCGTCCCTGTCCCTGTGTCCTGTCCCTGGATCTCCTGTCCCCACGTCCCTGTCCCTACATCTCTGTCCCTGAATCCCTGTCCCCGGATCCCCTGTCCCCATGTCCCCCATCCCTGTACCCCCATCCCTGTCCCTGTGTCCCATCCCTGGATCTCCTGTCCCCACGTCCTCCATCCCTGTGTCCCCATCCCTGTATCCCCTGTCCCTGTCCCTGTACCCCCTGTCCCTGTCCCTGTGCCCCCTGTCCCTGCGTCCCTGTCCCTGTGTCCCCATCCCACTCTGGGCCCCGGACACAGGGGTGGGGTTTTCCACCAGGAACAGTGCCAAGGCCCCACAGGAATGTTTAGTTTTTCTTTTAAAATGGCAATGATTGTGGTAGATCCACATACCGACTGCAGCCTGGCTTCTCTTCAGCTCTACCCTAATGCAATTGTAAAATTTAATTTTAACCATGTTTATGGAGGGTCAGGGGCCCACAGAAGCCAGGTGGCTGGAAGCCCAAGGAGGGGCGCAAGCCTAGGTGAACTTGAAAAGGGCCCTGAGAGGAGGGAGGTCTGGAGCCCCAGTCCCACTGCATCTCTGCCCCAGGTCTTTTGAGGGTCCACTTCTGACCAGTGGACTGGGGCCAGCAGTGTGCTGAGTGCAGAAGCAGGACGAAGCCCCCTGTGTCCACTTCGGATGCTGTGATCCATTGGCCATGTCTGGCCTGGGCGCAGGTGTGGGTAGAATAGGTGCTCGCACTACCTCATCGGGGAGAAGTCCTGATGCCCTTCCTGCTGCCAATGGTCCCACGTTTGGCTTTTTTTTTTTTTTTAATTTCCTGAATGCCCAGCATGCTGGTGAGAGAAGTTAGCACTGAGAACCACATTGAGCATAGATTTGGGGAATCCCTGCCATTTTCCCAGAGCCTCCAGGGAGTATTCTGAGGCTGGGAGGACAAGGCCTGCCAGGGTCTGCAGCCCCCCTGGCTTCAGCTGGGGTCTCGGCATCCTCTGTATGGGGGAAGCCCCCCACCTCTGCCTTAAGGGGTCAGGGAGGCAGTAGATGTGGCCTGTGTCCTCCGGGGGTCCCGGGAGGGGTGTGTGTGGGCTCTTTGGAAGGCAGTATTTCCCTGCCCTCTGGGACGGCCCTGCCTGGGGAGGGGCCGGGCTGCCCACTCAGCGCCTGCCGGCTCCCACACGCGGTGTGTCTTGCAGGTGACGCGGTGAGCCCCACCGGAAGTGCTCTGTCTGCAGCCATGGGGGTCACAGCCCCAGCCATCGGCACAGGAACCACAACCCTCGTCCCAGAGCCCCCCACGTTGTCACTTAGCCGCAGGAACCCAGGGGGCTCCCCAACACCAGCCCAGGCCTGGACCTCAGGGCCTCTGCCCAAGAGAGGGGCTGGTGGCATAGTCGGAGAGGAGAGAAATAGCACAGGGCCTGGCAGTGAGGAGGAGGGGCCCAGTGTAGTCCCGGACCCAGGGCCGGGCCATGGGGTCACCAGTTGGGGGTTCAGCAGAGCCATCTCCCCCAGGGCTCCCGGGCCAAGCCCTGGCTCCCCCTCCCCTCGGGGCACCACAGGTGGTCCAGTGAAGGCCCCGGGACAGCCATGGGGAAACGCCACCACAGAGCTGCCTACCTCGCCGGCCTCTGCCTCGGGCCCCCCAGGTCATGTGGAGTGGCACACCAGCCGCCCCACACGGGGGACACCACTGGATTCCGTGGGACTGCGGCAGGAAGACCCTGGGCCTTCCCCCTTCCGGGTCTCGCCATCGGTCCTCACCCCTGAGTCTCCAAAGACCCCCGCCTGTGGTGAGTGGCCCTAGGGACTGAGATCCCCATGGGAACTTCATAGTTTGCAGGGACCCAGAGGGCTACACCCCAGAGCTGTTGTGTCCCGCCAGCCTGAGACACACGATGGGGCCCACAACTCTGCACCCTGTCCTGTACCAACCTGTCCTGTACCCCCGCTCTCTGTGCCCCAGTTGCCTGCAACCCAGCTGTGCTATTCCCCCAGCTGTTGTACCCCAGCTGTCTAACCCCTGACTGGCCTGCACCCATCAGATCCACACGGCATTTGGGGTTTAGCCCTCCCCAGCCCCAGGACACCCAGGGGAGCAGCTCTGTGTTGTGCCACCCTTTGTCCTTGGTCCCTGCTGTGTGCAGAGCGCCTTCACCCTGGCTGTCCGTCCCTGTATCAGATTTATCCTCCCTCCACCCAGGCTGTTCCTGGGATGTCCATGTGGTGAGGGGTGGACAGCTTGGCTGGGAAGTGACCCAGACTCTGTGGAAGAGGCTTTGGTCCTGGAGACCCCTGGGCCAGCGTGACCACCTCAGAGACCAAGCAAAGCTGGGGAGGGTGAGCTGTTAGGACAGGGACCTCCTCACGGTGGGCTGCGGCAGTGAGGGCCTCCGGGACCTTTCCTGGCAGCTGTCGCGGAGGCCCGTCCTGTGTCTTTGATTCTTTGATCCTCTTCTTCTGAAGTTCTAACTTCAGCGTTTTTGTTTCGCTTCCCAGTTCCTGTCCCCATCAGAAAGGCCACGATCTCCAACGTGACTGGCACCAGCTTCCATCTGGCGTGGGCTGCAGACATCACCCCGGGCCTCACGTTCCATCTCACCGCCCTCTCCCCACGGAGCACCGCCGTGGGTCTGGACACCCGGGAGCCTAGCGCTACACTGTCGGGGCTGGAACCCGGCGTCCTGTACCTGGTGGAGATCGCAGCCAAAGCGTGCGGGAAAGAGGGCGCCAGGATGCAGCTGAAAGTGAGGACAGGTAGGGCCTGGGAAAGGCAAGCCCCACGGTGCTTACCGGAAGCGGGAGCGGTGTGAGCCCGGCACCGGGGAAACTGAGGCAGGAGAATCGTAAACCCAGTCTAACCTGGGCAATTCAGAGGGACCCTGCCTCAAAATGAAAAATAAAACCTGGGCCGGGGATGCAGCTGAGTGTGATGGCTCTGGGGCTTTCATCTGCAGTACCACAAAAGCAGAGAAAGACACAGACTCGGGTGCAGACCCCTCCCCTCTTCATGAGCTCGTGCCAGCTGGCTGTTCTCTTGCACGAGTGGCCCGCCAGCGTGTCTGACGTGGCAGGTGGTCTGCACGTCTCAGGCTAGGGGTGGCCATAGGCTAGCAGTGGCCATAGGCTAGGGGACAGAACAGTGGGCCGGCTTTGTGGTTCAGGCTAACAGTGAGTAAGGAGCTCCTGGGGACCAGCTCTGAGCCCCCGGGGAGACCTTGTCTTTCTGCCCCGCCGCCCCACACCCGGGCGTCCTCAGATCCTGTCCTCAAGGACGAGTGAGGTGGGAGGGCAATGGCCCCGTTCCTAGAAGCCCTCAGGGGCACAGCGCCACTGGGAGCAGAAGGTGCCAGGTCACGGTTGCCCAGAGGCTGTGGAGCGGTGCTGTGGGTGGAAGAGGAGCCTGGCACCGCTGTGCCCACCACTGTGGGCCCTGGGCCCCAGCGAGGCCGACAGGTGCATCACGCTGTGGCCCTGGTCTGATTCTTTCCTGCGTCCCTTCGGTCCCCAACGCTGTCCTGGCCTAGCACCTGGGCACAGGTATATGGCCCCTGGGGACTCAGGCTGCCCAGAGGGCTGGGCCTGCAGCTTCCGGAAGTGCCTGCCCTCCTCCTCTGGTTACTGGGGCTGCGTCTGGGCACCGGGCACCGATCCCTCTCACTCGAGAGTGCGGCTCCGCCCTGTACGATGTCCTCCTGCCAGAGGGGACGCGTGGTGGCGACCCGAGGCTGTGCCGTGCCCCACGCTACCCTTCTCCATCCTGCAGCGGCCCAGAAGCTCAGGGGCAGAGTCAGGATAGCGAACATCAGGTACTCAGAGTCCTTGGGCGACGCCAGCAGCGAGCAGTCCCGCCACTTCCTGGGCCTGTTCTCCAGCAGGGTGAGTCGGGGTGTTGCCCCATCCCCTGGGGACTACAGGAGGGAGGGAGGCCAAGTCTGCTCATCCAGTCGGAGCTGGGCCTCGGGCTGGGCCTCCGCCCTGGCTCCTGCCTCTCCCCCTTCCCACTGGGTTTGCTGTTCTCCGTCCGCATGCTGCAGAACCCTCCCTGCTTTAAAAAACTTCAAACACCACAAAACTCACATTGAAAAAAACAGCAGCTTTATTGAGCTAAGGTTTGCACGCCACACAACTGACAAACGTTAAGTTTCAGTAATGCTAGCGCACGACAGAGTTCTGCAACGCAGTGAAATTTTGATCACTTTTGTCACCCCATTCAGCGTGTTCTACGCACTCGCTATGGCCTCCCTAGATCTAGGCAGCCACTGAGCCACTCTCTGTGTGCATAGATTTTCCTATTCTGGGAATATATTTATTTTTTAAAATTCAAAATAGACCGTGATCATGGTAACAATAAAGACCCAAACATGTCCAAAGGAATGGAAACCCTGCAAAGTGAGCCAGGAGCAGAAACATATTTGGAATACAGTAACTGTTTTTCCCTCTCTCTCTTTTTTCCTATTCATTTTTTCATGGAAGGGAAACCGTGTAATGTTCAAGCTTGTGCACCTGATGTGCCTTCTTAACACTGTGGTCTCGAGCTGCATCTGTTTTCCTATAAATGCCTCCAGTTCACCCGTCTTCACAGCACAGTAGTACTCCGTGGGGTGTAAACACCACACTTTCTTTACCCGCTCATCTGTTGATGGGCGTACAGGCTGCTGCCAGGATTCAGCTATTATGAGTTGTGGTGCTATCAGCATGGGTGTGCACGCACCACTGCGCTGTGGTGTCTAACTCATTTCAGAGTGCAATTCGGTGGCTTACAGTGCGTGCACGGGACTGTGCCACAGTTGTGAGCATCTAACTCGAGATTTGTCTTCACCCAGAGAGGAGCCTTGTCGCCCCCACCCCCAGCCCGCCGCCCCGCTTCCTTCTGGGGACGTCTGGCCTCCCTCGCTTGGCTCCGATTTCCCAACCTCCTCCCCGTGGGGCGTGCCGCTCTCTTCCTGGGGCGGCCGAGCCCCACGGTGCTGCACTGCCTCACTGACCCGGCGACACCCACTCTTGTCCACTACAAAGAGTGCTGCGAGGGTCCCTGCCTTCCACAAAGCCCCTTCCCCATGCTCCTGAGTGGCCTCCCTGCTGTCTCTCTGGCTTTCTCTAGGGTGGAGGTTGTTTCGGTCTGGTAGGGCATCAGCACTGACATCTTTGTTGGAAGCGTGACTGTTTTTTTAAGGTATTGGGAGTGCACTGGTCCTGATGGAATGATCTCGTTTTTGTAGTGGAAATCTCACCTTTCAGCCTTCCCTTAGTCTGGGAGTTTGAGTTTTAAAACACAGAATGGAGGGCGCTGGACACTGCCACCTTGTGGCGGGCCTGACCGTGCCGGGGTGTCCTCAAAGCGGGAAGGCCCAGTGGATTCCAGGAGACCCCACAGCAAGCTCCCTGGTAAAATGGCCTAGCCAGCAGCTGAGACCCGGGGTCTGTTCAGTTTATCCTGGGGTCCCCAGCTCCAGAGGCGGCGGCGGTGTGGTTGCTGTGGTCCCTGCCTCCTTGAGGCGAAATGACAGCTACAAGCTCCAGCGGTCAGGTGAAGGGGCCCTGCCTCCGTCTCACGCGTCTTGACTAACCTTCCTCCTCCTTTGCCCGTTTCGGGGAGAGCCGCCTTTTGTATTTAGACTCTCAGGAGAGCAGGGAGCTGTGTGCTGGGAGGTGGCGGGTTCCTGTGGCACCTGGCTCGGCATCCATTCTTAGCAAGGAGGCCGGAACTTTGAAGTGGGACCTTGATCCCTTGATCCAAGGCTCCTGTGGATCTGTGTGTGTGTGTCGGGGGCGAGGCCAGTGACACCAGCTGACCACAGCCTCTGATGGGGACAGTGGGTTTGTTCACCCTGGATGGCTGGGAGTGGGGCAGAATCCCGAGCACCAGCAGCCGTGTCCTCTGTCTCTCCAAGGTGCGGGACTCCTTGCCGGCCACGCTGCGCCAGCATGTGGACTCCGGTGGGATCAGAGTGAGCGTCACCCGCGTCACCAACGGCAGCGTCGTGGTGGAGTTTGATCTGCTGATGACGGTGGCCCTGGATGTCCAGGAGGTGTCAGCGGCCTTCCTCGATTCTCTGGGGAACATGTCCGGGCTGGAGGCGGTCAGGAGCAACACCGTCATTTGGGGTAGGCAGAGGTGGGCTGTCGGTGGCCTCCCCCCATTTTTGGGCAAGAACCCCATCTTGGACCTTGGGTTTTTGGAAGATGGATCCTGACACTTTCCCTTTGGGGCTTTTCCTGGAATTTTCTGGAAAACGCAGATTAGATGGGATGCTCCCCGCCTCTTACTGTACCAAGATTCTCTCTAAGGTTTGAGGGGTGAAGCATCGTCAGCTGACCCTGCAAAGATTCCCAGGGTCCCTGCCACCTCTGGGGGCTGCCCCGCGCCCAGTTCAATGGCTGAGGCGGATTTGTCCCTCTCAGCAGCTAGACCCTCCCGCAGCACACTTTCCAAGGGACCCTCATAATGCCATAGGAAGACAGGGAGGAGAGGCACCCCAGAGTCTTTTCTTCTATTGTACAAGATAGGACTGAACAATATGGTTCATTTTTAAATTAAAAAAATTATTACAGTAAAAGACGCATTGCCGAGAACCCCTCGAAATTCTCCTTTGAACCCCCTCCTCCCACCGCCCTGGTCCCTTCCTGCAGCAGCTCTGGAGCCCTCCTTCCTGAGTGTCTTTAGTTGTGTTGTCCTGGCTGCCTCAGTGTCCTGAATCAGCTTCCCTTTCGTGGTCATTTTGACCTTGGGGAGGAGCCAGAAGTCGCACAGTGCCAGATCTGGGGACTCAGGTGGATGAGGACGCCACGTCCTGTGTGTATGGGCTGCCTCTCCATTGGGTGGCGCTGGTCAGCAGCACTCACTGTATTTCTGATCACATCTCATAAAGACGCCCAGGAAAGAGGGCTCCAGAGGTGCTGCAGCAAGCGGCAAGTACTGGAGAGCCCTGCAGTTAGGTTCCAGCACCCTGCCCAGTATATGATGCAGGGCTGAGAAATAAAACTAGAAGTCAGAATCAAGAGAGAGAAAACGGGGCACCCGAACGACCGATGCCGGTGCGGTGCAGCCCACAGAGGCGCTGGCCTGTCCCAGGCACTGACTCTTACGGGCGATTCATTGGGGTAAAGGCGGGTCAAGGCGGGGCTGTGCGTGGTTTCTAGGGAGACTAATGCAAACAAGACACAGCATTCTCAAATCAGAAACAGAATAGGCCAAATACATGGCTGTAATTAGAACCTTGTACGTCTACTTAGAAGGTTTAGTTGTGGGAATGGAATTTGGGTGCGAGTTACTGCGACCTCAGCACGTAGGCTTCAGCCAGACTCGCAGTCGTGGGTTCATCCTCACGGGTGCCTTGGGCATTGTCAGTGTAACTAGCAGGTCTCCTGGGGCAAGAATGATGGGATGAGAGTGCTTAAAATGAAGGGAGGGCTGGGGATTGAGCTCGGTGGTGCCGCCGCCTGCTTCGCAAGTGCAAGGTCCCGAGTTCGATCCCCGATACCAACAACACAAAACAAAAACTACATAAATCAAAATAAAATGAAGGGGCGGAGTTTTGAAGGAAGTTAATGTAAAACTTACTGTCATGAATTTGTATTTTTGGTTTGGGAATGAGAACAATTTCCCAAGAACAACCAGACCTTCAGAGGAAAAGCCTGGAGCACTTGACTACACAGAAGTACACATTTTTGCTGGGCGTGGCAGCACACGCCTGTAATCCTAGCACGGAGGAGGCTGAGGCAGGATTTTTGTGAGTTGAGGCCAGCCTGGAATACACAGTAAGTTCAAGACCATGTCTCCAAAAAAGGTATTTTTGTGGCAGGCAATTGAAGTCACCATTATAAAATGAACAAAAGGCAGAAAACTACTTTCCATAAGTTGATGAATTAGTCTCCCAAATTTATACCGGGATCATACAATAGATGCAAAGACCCAAATAGGTGATACACAGAAGAGAAAAACAGATTACTACAAAGATGGGATCAGCAAAGACATTCCCCTTAAAATAACTCACTCTTTTAAATAAGACTCTCCTGGGTGCAGAAGGCCTCCTGACACAGGTGTGCTGGGAGGTGCTTCTGGAATCTGTGGCTGGGAGTGGAGCTGCTCACCTCCTTGGGAATCGGCTTAGCAATAGATGTCCAGAGCTTCCCAGGTGTCATCGCGTTGCCTCGGAAGACCCCTCCTGGACTTTGTCCTCAGCAAACAGGCCTCGGCTGGGACCATGGTTGGTGCAAAGATACTCATCTTCTCTATCGCTTTCAAAGCAAAAGAACCGGAGATAACCGAGCACGCTGGGGTAGGAAATGTACTGAATTATGGCCACAGCACGGGTGCCTGTCAGTTCCTCAGAGTGGGTTTGTTGAGTTGGAATAGACTCCCAAGACAGGGTAAGGACAGGAGCAGGATATGCTCAGTTCCAGAGCAGTCTGAGCGACTGAGTGCTGATTAGGATTGACGGTTGACTGGTGCTAGGGATGAAAGCCAGGGCCCCCTGATGCGAAGGGCATCAGGACCAGAGGAGGGCAGGGGCCTGAGGTGCAGCAGCCCTGGCCCAGGCCAGCTCCTCCCTGCAGACCCAGTGGAGCCCCCACACCACAGAGCTGGCCATGTGCCTGTCCCTGCTCCTGCTGGGTGGCTCAGATCTGCCTCCCAGGAGGCTGTGCTCTTGGGGGCCAGGCCAGGCCGACTCACCCCTGTCCTGTCTCCCAAATGCCTTGCAGATTACGATGAGTGTGGGAGAAAGGAGGATGACTGTGTGCCGGGGACCTCCTGCCAGAACACCCTGGGGTCATTCACCTGCAGCTGTGAGCGTGGAGCCCCCGACTCCCATGTGGAATATTCTGGAAGAGCCTGTGTGGGTGAGTCTCCTCATCCTGGAAGGGGTGTTTTGCAGCTATTTTTTTTTAAAGATAGGGTCTTGCTGTGTAGTGCAGGCTGGCTTTGAACTCACTGTGTAGCCCAGGCTGGCCTCAAACTCATGGCAGTCCTCCTGCCTCAGCCTCCTAAGTGCTGGGATTACAGGTGTGCACCACCTTGCCCAGCCTGGTGATGGTCTTTCAGGTGGCATGGTGGGCAGGGTGTGGCGGGCGCTTTGGTGAGAACAGAGCTAGTGAAGGTGGGCAGGGACCAAGCACGCGGCTGGGCCCGCTGACTTTGGGGAGCCTTTGGGAGAGGGTGGCTGAAGGGGGAGGTGCCGAGTGGCAGGAAGGAGGCCGGGTCCTCCTGGAGCAAGAAGGAAGGATTGCAAGGCAGGGTGTGGGTGCAGGCCCGGCGGGGGCTCCTGTCAAGAGCCTTGGGCCTCTGAAGGCTGGGCCCTGTCCCACGGGGGCTCGGACCTCCCTCCGTGTGTCACCTGGGCAGGTGCCACAGGGCGCAGCGCGGGTCCACACCAGTGCCCACCTGTGCCCGTCTCCTCCACCCTGCAGGCGGCTCTGCGGACAGCCCCACTGCGACCCCTGGCCCAGAGTGGCCCCCGGCCGGGGCTCGAACCCCGGCTGCCCTCCCGCCGAGCACCAGCCCCGTGCCCCTGGGCCCCCCAGCACGGCTGAACCTGACAGGCGCGGCCAGGGTGCTGTGCGAGATCGAGCGGGTGGCCATCGCCATCCAGAAGCGTTTCCTGCTGCAGGAGGCCATCCCCGAGGCCTCGCTGTACCTGGGCCAGCCACCCTGCAACGTGAGCTTCAGCAACGCCTCCCACGTGCTCCTGACGGCCGGCTGGGCAGAGTGCGGGACCCTGGTGCAGAGCGTAAGGCCCGGTGGGCGCTCCTGGGGGAGGGGCGGTGTGGGGGGAAGAGCAGGGGTCCCCGCAGTCAGGTGGGAAGGCGATGGGTGTGGGCGCGTTCCTGGTCGGCACGTGCCTGTGTTTACACAAGCATGTGTTGACCGTGCGACATAGGACCTTGCACGTGTGATACACGTGTGTGTGTGTGCTCGCGTGATTGTTAGCTTTCCGTCAATGTGGCAAAACACCTGAGCTAACCCAACTCAAAGGAGGTTTATTGAGCCAGGGTCTCACTGTGTAGCGTAGGCCGGCCTTGAACTCTCCGAGATCATCCTGCCTCTGCCTCCCAAGTGCTGGGATGACGAGTGTGTGCCACACCTGTTGGGGAGGAAAGTCTTCCTGGCTCCTGGTTTCAGGGCTGCAGTCTAATGGCTGGCCCAGTTGCCCAGCCTTTGGCATATGGGCCTTAGGGGAACTCCAGATACAGTCCACAGCGAGGTGTGTAGGGCCAAAGGTGTGTGCACTCATGAGCGTGTGGAAGTGTGCATGGGTCTGAATATATTGGTGTGAGCGTGACTGCACTGTGTGTTTGCAAATCTGTGCCTACACATGCGTACATGTGAATATAAGGCATACTTTACATGTGTGAGTGTGTCGTGTGTCACACAGCTGTAGGTAGTGTGTCCACGTGAGTGTGAGTGTGAGCACATGCGCAGGTGTGTGTATGTGTGAGTCAGGTGTGTGAATTCTCCTGTCAGGGTGTATGAGTGTGCATATAGGGCTTTTCATGGGTGTGCCCTTGAGTCTGGGCGTGGTGAGCGTCCTGTTAATGAGCACACGTGTGGGTGTGACTGTGAGTGTGAGCAGTGGGGAGTTCAGTGCGGTTCTGTCAGGGGGCGCAGGGTCTGCTGTCGGGGGGCACTGAGGGCAGAGTCTGGGCCAGGAGCTGGGGCTAGGGGCTCGAGGCAGCAGGGGCCAGTTCCCGGCGGTGGGGCAGCGTGATCCTGAACTTGGGGGGCCAGGGCTTTGTCCTGAGCACCTTTGGAGCCCCGGGGCCCCAGGGCCGGAGGCTGGGCATTGTGAGCCACGCTTAGGTCGAGACCGAGTGGAGGCTGCGGCTGTGGCCGGCTGCTGCCAGCAGGGTTTGTAGAACATGTTAGGGGCTGAAAGCAGGGCGTGGCAATGCACACTGGTCATCCCAGCACTGTGGAGGCTGAGGCAGGAGCATCCTGTGTTGGAGCACAGCCTGAACAACTTGGAGATGTAGCAAGACTCTGTCTCACATAAAGATAATAAAGGGCTGAGCGTGTAACTGGGTTCAAGCTACAGTACTGAAAAGAAGGCAGAGTCACTCTGCTGTGCTCAGGTGTCCCCACATGCACCCCAGCTGCCCCAGGACAGCATGAGGGCTGCAGACAGAGGCCCGTGGGTGGCTCTCTCCTCCCCTGGTCCGGGCCAGGCAGCCATCTGCTCTGCCTGCTGAGACTGTCAGGGTTTGGGGCGGTAGAGAGGAATGGGAACAGGGCGCAGTGCGTGGCCCAGCCCAGGGCCCGCCAGGCCGTTACTCAAAGCCAAGAGCGCCAAGGGCCGAAGTGTGACGGTTCTAAGAGCCCATAGCGTGCCTGGCAGTGGAAGCCGGACGTGCGCCGTCCCTGGAGGTCCACACGAGCTCAGGGCTGTCAGGGTCGTCGCACACCGGAGGTGGGGCTTCTGGTGCCCTCACCCCGGCTCATTTGCCTCCCTCTGTGCCCAGAACAAGACCAGCACGGTGGTGAAGACGGTCCTGAGGAACAACCGGCCCCTGGACGGCGTCATCCACCACCCCACGGTCCTGAGCCCTATCCGCTGCGTCTTCCAGAACGACCTCCTGACGTCCCTGGGCTACACTCCGAAGTGGGGGTGAGGGGCAGTGCCTCGGCTCTCTTCTGGGAGCCTGTGGGGGACCGGGGTCCTCGGGGTTCCTACCACTGTGGGCCCTGCCCCGAGTCCACGCGAATGGACCCGAGCCGACTCCTGTGTAATGGCCTGGCCCCCGCCGCTGTCCCAGGCCCTGGGGGTCCCTGCTGATCCCCACACTTCCCTGGGACTGCTCTGGGGGAGGGTGGGAAGCGGGGGCTGCAGGGCAAACTCCCGGCCGTGCCCTGGCAGGGAGCACGCCTTCGTAGACGACCTGCACGGCGCGGGCATGTTCGTCACGGAAATGCAGCTGTTCGTGGGCGACTCCCCCATCCCCCAGAACCACAGCGTGTCAGCCAGCGAGGACGTCAAGATCCAGGTGGGGCTGGACGGGCAGAAGAGCGGCCTCAAGGTGGTGCTGATGGAGTGCTGGGCCACGCCCTCCCGTGACGCCTGGGACCCGGTCGCCTTCGGCTTCATCAACAACAGGTGGGCAGGGCAGGTGCCGCGGCCACCGCTGGGTTTCCCCCGAGGCTGACCGACTGGTCTCCTCGCAGCTGCCCCATCCCCAACACCCACACCAGCGTGATCCAGAACGGCGACTCCAGCAAGGCCCAGTTTAAGCTGAGAATCTTCTCCTTCGTCAACAACTCCCTCGTCTACCTGCACTGCAAGCTGCGAGTCTGCATGGAGTCCCCCGGCAACACGTGCAAGATTGTGAGTGTTGGGCGCCTGGGCGAGAGGCGGCAGCTCTTCCTAAGAGCCAGGGCCAGCCATTACGGCATCTGAGTGGTGCCGGGCAGCGGGCAGCTGGTGGGCATTCCCAGTTTGCCAGCGCCTGGGCCCAGCGTTGGTGAGGCTGCGGCCCCAGCCCAGTCACCTGCCTCTGAGCCTCTCCGCGTGGCCACAAGCCGAGCACCCGGGGTACCGGTGTGTCCTGGCTTCCTGCCACTCTTGGCATCTCCGTTTCCCTCCCTGTGCCCCACACGTGCAGTGGCTGGGTAATTCCACGGCCTGAAAGCTGCTCTCTGTGCCCAGGCAAGCGTGCAAGGTGTGCAAGGTCTGGTCACCAAGGCGGGGCCAGTTACAGCCCCGCAGGCCTCTGCCAGTGCAACCTTGAGGCAGGTGTAGCTGGTCCCTCGGGACAGGTGCCGGGTTAGTGCTGGGCCGCCGTGACAGCACCGGACGGGCTGGACAGGGCCGCGGTGCAGGAGCTGACACAAGGTCAAGGGGCCGGCGGGGCACTGTGCAGGCCTCTTGGGCTCTGGTGGCCTCAGCCGTCTGGCTTTGTGTTTGCTCTGTGTCTTTTCATCTCGCTCGGGTCTCTGCGTCCATATGCCCCTTTTGTAAGATCGCAGCCGCACAGGGTCAGAGCCACCCCCGTGGCCTCGTCCTGACTCCATCACCTTCCCCGGTACAGGCACCACTGCAGGTGCGGTGTAGGGTCGGGAAGTCAGCGTCTCTCTGGAGGACTGGGGCCACCCCGACAGGGACACCATGGGCAGTGGACACAGCAGGAGTCGCACAGGGCCGTGGTGGCCTTTGGAGAAGCTGACAGTGTGCCCAGCCCTCGCTCCTGTCCCCTGGCGCTGCCCAGGCGCCCCTGCTCCCCCACCCCAGTGTGATGCCCCGAGCTCAGAATTGCCCCCTTCGGCCGCCGCCACCCAGACAGTGAGTTCACCCCCCAGAGGCCATGCGGCCAACCTGAGATCGCCCGCCTTTCCAATCAACCCCCAGAACTGCAACGATTTCCGGTTTCTGAGGAGCGGCGAAGGCTCCACGGTGCTGCAGGCCACCTGGGGGCCCCTCTTTCGCTTGGACGACGGTGAGTCCACGCCTGGGGTTCAGACAGCAGAGACAGAGCCCGCCCACTGCACACAAACCAAGCAACTGCTGTGAAATGCGGAGTTGCAGACTTCCCCAGAAGACTCAGGGCAGTAGAAAGATCAGGGCCGGACCCTGTGTGGGAGCCAGGATCGGCCGGCAGGGTGCTGAGTCCTCGGGGTGGGGGTGGAACTTTCCCCTCCAGGTGGGCGGCGGGCTGCCCAGAAGTGGGGTCTGCCATGGTCCCCTGCTGCCGAGCGGAAGCCGGGCTCCCAGAGCAGGTGAATTCAAATAACTTGAAGTTCAGAGCAGGGCCGCAAGAAGCCAGGCATGTCCTGTCCCCGATAAACACATCCGGTGGGCGTGCAGGGGAAGGGGCTCGGGCTGTGAACGGGGGTGTCGTGTGCATGCCCAAGTGTGTATCCACGCGAAAGAGCTATTTTATTCAGAAGACGCAAAAGAAGGCATCTTCTTTTCCCTCGGTACAGTTTCCATCAGCCAGTTATGTCCTGTGTCCTTTTTGACGTGATCATTCTGATTATTTTGAAGAAAAATGGTTTGGGGAGTTGTGTGCCCTGGGTACCCGGAGACCGCTAGCTGCCCCCGCGTTCTGTCTCCGCTCCTTCCGTAGCCGGAGCCCTGGGACTTTAGCGGCCAGGGATAAAAATAGATCTCCAACCTGCGGGGCAGCCCAGCGTGGCCCCCGGTGCCAGTTCCGGTCAGTGAGGGGCACAGGGGTGGCATGGCCATTGGAGGGGACCCCTGCAAGCCGCCTGGTGCCCCCTTCCCTCACTCCTCCTGTTTCCTGTCCTTCAGCCCAGCATGCAGAGGAGGCAGCCAGCAGCTGTCGGGACCCTGAGCACCCACAGGCATGGGGGCCGTAGGGGCTGGTCCTCAGGATACCGTGGGCTCTGCCCCAGTTTCTGTGCCAGACACGAACTCCCCTTTGATTTAAGCCCCTGCTGTTTCAGTTTCTTCTTTCTTGCCGCTGAACTAGTCTTGCTGGTTTCCCTGCGTTGTTTCCCCTCACCTTGATGGTACTCTCGCACACCCTTCTCTGGGTCTGGCCGCAGGCTAGGGGGTGCGAGCGGGTGTGTGGGCGCTGGCAGGACTTGGAAAGGACACAAGGGAGCAGAGAGTGGCCAGTGTTTCTCAACTGCCGGTTCTCACCCGAGTGTCTGAGAACCAAATAAACAGGCACCAGTGCCGGCCCACAGCCGAAGCTCACAGTCTCTGGAGTTGTGGGGGCCTCCGTGGGGGCTGGCTGGGCTCTGGGACAACACGCTTTTCCCCTCGTCCTCGCTTTAAATTGCTAGGGAGACCAGGCCAGGCTGGGACTGGATGAGGAAGAGGCCCTTGCACGCCCCGAGAGGGGGTCCTGACATCCACCAGGAGGCTGTGGGAAGTCCGGGCCGGAGTCAGGACACGGGGCGGAACACGGCTGTGGCCATGAGCTGTGTGGTTCACCGCCTCTGTCACCCGCAGGTGCGTGTCCGCGTGCAAAGCCACAACTCGGGGCTGGCTACGTGGCCCTCATCACGGTCTCAGCCTTGGCCGTGGTGGCGGGGGCTGTGACCCTCCTGATCCTGCGCAACCAGAGGACCACCGGGAACTACAACTTCAGCATTCAGCCCGGCAGCCTTGGCTACCAGGTGTTCTCGGGGTAGGAAGCCTGGCCGCCGAGGTGGGTGAAGGGGGTGGTCTGCCTGGGTGTCCGTGCCCTGGGGACGGCTGGGCGGCTGGGCAGGGTAGATCTGTCACTGTTGTGGTGCATGGCCCCTGGGCCGGGATGGATGGTCCTTCCTGGATGGTGCGGGACACCAGGCTGTGTCCACTGGGTGGCGCCCCGCTCTCCCTGGCATGGACGACTCAAACATGGATGTGTTTCTCTCTGTCCCCTGGATGCTTGGGAGCAGGGTCCTGAGCACAGTGGGCGACTCCGGAAGGCTCTGGTCGTGGCAGCCCATGCGCACCTGCCTTGCGTTTGACTGCAGATGACCATGAGACAGAAGGCACGGGGAATGCTGTGTGAATCATTGTCGCACTGCATTGTTTAGGGACCAGTGAACCCAAACCCTGTACCTGTCCACTGCAGACACACTTTTTAAAGAACACGTTCCCTCCATAGTTGGGTTCCCGTGGACACTGAGAGCCCGTTCTATGTCCTGATCAGTTACTTCCCTTGTTGCTGGGACAAGATACCTAACACCTGCACCCTCTAGCAGGAGGAGTTTATCTGGCTCACAGCTTGTGGAGGGTTCAGTCCATAGTCCAGTGGCTCCAAGGCAGGCAGCATGGCAGAGGGGCCTGGCAGAGGGGAGCTGCTCAGGGCATGGCGGACAGGAAGTGGCGAGAGAAGGGAGGAGCCCAAGCCCAAGGCCACGCCCTAGGACCCACCTCTTCCCATGAGGCCCCACCTCCCAACAGCTCATCTGGCTAGTAACTCCTCAGTGGACCAATCACTGATGAGCATCACACCCTGTGATCCAATTGCCTCCCAGAGCCCCACATGAGCACTGAGGCTTTGGGCGCCAGCCAGATGTAAAGGTAACAATGCCTTCTCCTGTCCTGTGAGCAGAATGACCCAGGAGACCTTTTCCATGCAGGTAACCGTGACTCAAACTTGGATCCCAGCGCATGAAGCATTAACCAAGTCGCGTCAGTGCTGCTCTCTGTGGCAGCACTCGTGTGAGCCCCAGAGTGGTAGAGTGGTGGGCTGGCCTCCGTCTGTCCCCCAGTGGTTGCTACCCTGCAGGCTGCAGGTCAGCGGCACCCACTAGGCAGGGGCCATGGCTGCTGGGATAGAGGCAGTGCCCCGGGTGTGCTGGGTGCTCAAGCCCTGCACAGATGCCGCTCCTGTCACCCGAGCCACCTGCACCCCTGTCACCAGACCCTTGCCCTCCAGACTGCTCCATGAGAACCTCGGTCATTGACAGCCAGTGCCCAACACTCATCAGTTACAAAGTGTTTCACTTTTTAAACAGTCAGTGGTTGTGAAGCCCTTTTACAAATAGGCCCATCTCATAAAGCCATCATTGGTAATGTTATTTTTAGGAGCCACATGTGGTAATAATAGAATAGATTGACTATGTAACCAAAATGTCCAGAGGGATGGTGGTCTTCAGGAAAGGTTTGATCCAGCAGCGTCACTGTGACCAAGTCATCGTTTTATCCCGCATTACCAGTTTGTTGTTTTTATTTACACAACAGCAGCACAAAAGACAGCTTAGCAATATGAAAATCTTTCTAATAAGTAAAAATACCACGACATGTAGATGTTACCCTCTTGTTTCCAGACATGTTCACAGCCATTTTTCCGCGGGGGCAGTTGCGATTTATCCATTGCCATGAGAAACGAGAAAGAGGGCAGACAAATTGCACACCTGAGGTCATAAAACAGCCAGCGAGGGATGGGGCTAGAATATAACTGTTTGGTGTAGAATTTTCTCCATTGCACCACCCGGAAATGCTGCTTTTTTACTTTATTTGAAGCAAATTAAAATTGATTAGAGGGCTAGTACCTACAAGTACGGTGTTGTTCCTTGATGAACTTAGAATCATAACAGGATGCTAGTTTTTAATACACACGATTCGTTCTGTGGATGTAATCAACTGTCAGACTGTTCAGGAAGAGGAGACTCTTGATGGACCGGATGAGGATGTGTAACACGTGTGGAGAACTGATTTCGAGCAAGCAAATAAAGTGCAGGTGACCCTGAAAGGCGACCAGCTGTGCTGGCTTCTCTGCGCAGTTCATTCCCACCATGGGCTCCCGGCCGTCTGCCTCGGGCCAGTGTCCCTGGCCCCAGGGAAGGAAAAGTCTGGTCCTTCCCGAGCACGCTTGTCTTGCCCGACTCAGCTCAGGCTTTCCCTTGCTTTGCGGAAAACAGAACAGGAAATGTTTGGTATCCCGGGCGGTGAGTCCCTCGGCCGGGCGGCTCTTGGTTTTCAGATGAAGTAGCTGGATTGTGTTTTACACCGAATCTTTCGAACCTCCTCTCGGTCAGGGGGCTGCACCCATTCATCTGTGCCTCATGTGACAGTGGAAGCTTGGGTCCCCTCTTCCTACCGCACTGCCCTCCGCTCCTTCTTGACGAGCCCTTCCGGAACAGCTGCAGGAGGCCAGGCCCAGCTCAGAGCTCGGACAGCGGGTGGGAGAGGAAGACTGAGCCCAGCCCCAAAGAGAGGGGCTCTGCCTAGGGGAGGGGAGCCAAGGCCAGTGCCCAGGGAGACAAAGAAGTCTATGCTGAGTTGTCCCTGCTCTGGTCCGTCCGTGCATCCGTCATTTCACCCATCTACCCACACGTCCACTCAACCGCTTGGCCCTCGATCAGCCTTTACCTCTCTGTCCACCCATCCCCTGAACAGTTGACTCACTCACTTCCCACCCATCTCTCCAATGAGCCGTCTGTCTGTTCATCCACCTGTCCATACACCTGCTCACCTTAACATCTACCTTTTCATCCACCTCTCCGGTCACCGCCTGTCCGTCTGCCCATCTGTCCTCCCATCCACCCACCCACCCTTCACCTGGGCCGCCTCGACAGGCTGTGCTCCTCAGCCCTCGTTCTTACCCTGACATCAGGAAGCTGAGAAGAATGGAAGATCTCTCGCTCCGAGACCTCACTCCCGTCTGAAGAGCCCCCTGCAGCACAGGCGGTAACGCCAGGGGACCCCAGGAGGTTGGGAGCGCCAGAAACACAAACGTGCCTGCGTGTGCTCAAGGTGTCCGGGCAGGGACTCTCACAGCTGCTGCGCGGGGCACTGTACTCGGCCGAGCCTGTGCAAACCCTCCAGTAACCAGCTGGTGGGGCTCCCCGGATTCACTCCACTCCGAGACAGGAGGAGGGAGGCCGGCTCTGGAGGGCTGCGGTGCAGACGCCACTCCCCGAGCCCTCCAGCCGGCCGCCGCGGCTGCTCTCACTTTAGCTGAGGGTGCAGGGATGTAACACACCTTTTCCGGTCGCGCTGCCAGAGCAGAGGGGCCGGCAGTGGAACAGAGACCCCCTGGCTGCCAAGTTCACTTATGCGCTGTATTTGCGGGGAGCGGGACCGTGCAGACCCCAGAGCACAGCGCCTCTGAGGTGCAGAGGAGCCCCCGCCCCAAGTCCTCACACTCGGACTGCGCCAGGGGCCTGACCCGCTTGGATCCGGACTACAGGGTGTGGATCACTCTACAGTGGAAGGCCTGATGACGGAGGAGGCTCTGATGGAGGTGAGGATCTGGTGCCCGCGAAGGTCAGTGGCCCCTGGAGAAGCCCTGGGGCTTTCCCCAAAGCCTCTAGCCCCGGTTGCATCCCTCCACACAGCCGCTAGATGGCGCGCAAACCCACGTCTGCCTCAGGGCTGCGCAGCCCCTTCAGAGCCTTCGGTAGCAGCCGTCCTGGTCTCTCTCTCTTCTCTCCTCCCTCTCTCTGTCTCTCTCCTCTATCTCTCTCTGTCTCTCTCTCCTCTCTCCTCTCTCTGTCTCTCTCTCTCCTCGTCTCTCTCTCCTCTGTCTCTCTCCTCTCTCTCTGTCTCTCTCTCCTCTGTCTCTCTCCTCTCTCCTCTCTCTCTCTCTCTCTCTCTCTCTCTCTCTCTCTCTCTCTC